ATTTGGGATTGGACGGTGGGAAGGAATGGTGCCCAACCACTTGGACGGTCGGGGGATTGAATGACAACCTGCAGGAAGCGAGACCGTCGCTCTACCGTCCAGTTTACATAGTGAGTACCTTGGAAGATTAACCGGACTTTAATGAATAACGGACTTTAAAAAGGATGAAGCCTAAAACTAGCAGCAAAGTGTAAACAAAATAAATCGTACTGAAACAAATAGAAGAATGAAAAAGCCATCGTAAACAAAGCTGTTCGCGAACTTATAGTAAAGCGTGAAGACAACTCCAAAATTTCAACGCATTGCAAATAAAAATATAAGTCTAAAAGTCTTGACAAGATTCAGTTTAACAGAGAAATACAAACTGATTGTTGATTCATCGGGTGATGGAGATTCCTACAACACTGCAATACATATATATATATATATATATATATATATATATATATATATATATATATATATATATATATATATATATATATATATATATATATATATATTGCTGACCTGAAGAGGATAGATGAGAGGATTGAAAACATTGATGCTCATCAAGCACTTTACCTCATTTCTTAGATGATTCTTAGATATTATACTAACATGTTATTCATCAGTTAGTGACGTCACGTGTTGATCCTAACATGTTGTTTACTAGTTCGTGACGTCACTTGTTGATACCATCATGCTGTTGACCAGTTCATGACGTCACGTGTTGATACTACCCCCAGCTGTTGACCAGTTCGTCTAACGATCCATCAGTCATGGGAAAATCCTGAGAGATAACACTGATACTTGTTGTTCAACGGTGCGACCCCTGGACTGGGGCGGGTCACTCAGTGTGACACATGGACTGTGACGGGTCACAGTGAGGGGGGGGGGTGTGGGGGGGGGGGGTGGTCACCAGGGGTGACAGGCCGGGCCATCCGGCTCATCACATTATCCGGCCTAAGAACAGCAAGGTTCTTGAGGCATCTGTTGCCTCACAGAATATCTCCTGGTATATATTTAATATTTAGTTTCTTGCGATATTCGAAAATATTTAATGTCTCATTTGAAGGCTCTTTATTACTGTAAGGTTTACTTACTGTAATCTATAAATAAATCACATTGTATAAAATACAAATATGAACAATTACGGATGGTAAGAGGAGAAAATACAGAGCAATTGTTCAGGGAGAATCTGCCAAGAATTGGTGGTATTTTTGTGAATGCCACCAATTGAACCAGAGGAACCTGTAAACTAGTTAATTGCCAGTTAAGAGACGGGGGCATAGAGCCCAAGCTCAACTCCCGCAAGCTCAATTAGATACTTTCGCCCACACACACACACACACACACACACACACACATACCTACCTTGGGTTTGGGGGCCTCGTAGCCTGGTGGATAGAGCGCAGGACTCGTAATTCTGTGGCACGGGTTCGATTCCTGCACGAGGCAGAAACAAATGGGCAAAGTTTCTTTCACCCTGAATGCCCCTGTTACCTAGCAGTAAATAGGTACATAGGAGTTAGTCAGCTGTCACGGGCTGCTTCCTGGTGTGTGTGTGTGTGTGTGTGTGTGTGTGTGTGTGTGTGTGTGTGGTGTGAGAAAAAAAGTAGTTAGTAAACAGTTGATTGACAGTTGAGAGGCGGGCCGAAAGAGCAAAGCTCAACCCCGCAAACACAACTAGGTGAATACATACACACACATACACAAACGCACCAACACAACCACACACACCCCCACAACCACACACACTCGAGCAATCTGCATCATCTATTCAATAAGGCTTCCACCATATCATGCAGTGCAAGGCAATTTCCTCACAAATTTCCTTTCCATGAAATCCCCTTCCTCTCACGGACTAGATTAGAGAAGACGCAGATACGCTCTGGAGGAAACTTATACGCATTCTTATTCAAAATCGTGCAAGAGTGATACACAAATTCACCCACTGAGCATCTGTACAAATTGTGAATTAGCTACGATTGTGAAAACATTAGAACAGGAATTAATAACTATACCCATACTGCAGAGTTCCTATTTATATCCACCCAAAGTCTCTCATATATATCTAACATATTCCTGAAACAATCTATCAACCCCAAATCCAATTTGTTTCTCGGTAACATGTTCCATAAACAATTAAAGATAATTGGGACAAGCTTCAATGGAGAATTATTGAAGCTTACACCAAAATAGGTTTCACAGTCACGATTGACAGCTGGAAACACACAGGTGGAAACAGGAGCTACCTCGCATAGGCCCGTAGACCCATGTGAAGCAACATCGAGAGTTATAGAGTGATAGAGAGTGAGTGATAGAGCGTCGTGAGTGATAGAGAATATGTATCTCAAACTACGTAGTGTAACAAGTTTTTATTGTATTTTTTCCCGGGTTGTAAGTGTTGGTTTATGATTGTTTATGCTTCTAACATATATAAAATGGCTATTATTTCTATTCAACTTCGCGTTAACCTTTGCCTAAGACAGCTTAAGGAAGATATCTTGAAGGTACTTTATGAACACTTCCGACTTATGATTTAACGTAACACAGCTCCGGATAAGGAGCCAGATTCACGAAGCATTTACGCAAGTACTTACGAACGTGTACATCTTTCCTTAATATTTGATGACTTTGGTTACATTTTTACTAAATAGTTTACAAGCATTAAACTTCCCAATCAACTGTTGTTATTGTTATAAACAGCCTCCTGGTGCTTCGCAGCTCATTAACTGTTTAATAATTGTAAACAAAGCTGCCAAAGATTGAGAAAAGAAGTACAGGTTCGTGTTTGCGTAACTGCTTCGTGAATCTGGCCCAAGGGGTCGACAACTTTTTAAGTTCCACTAAGACGTCTTCCCTAAGCTGTGTTAAGTAGCAAAGTTTGAAGGTAATAATAACCATTTTCTTTATTTTGGAGTCATGCCCAAACAAAAAATTACTCCTGTTACTCTGAACCAGGATTCAACAAGCACTTACGATCCTGTACATCTTTTCTCAATTTTTGACGGCTTTATTGACATTAATTAAACAGTTTATTAGCATCGAAACTTCCCAGTCAAATGTTATTACTTTTGTAAACAGCCTCCTAGAGCTTCGAGGGTCATAAACTGTTTAATGTTTGTAAAATAATGCCGCCATGGATTGAGAAAAGATGTACAGGATCGTAAGTACTTGCGTAACTATTTGATTAATTCAGGTCCAAGAATAACAAATTGTGTTACATTGTGTTATCGTATTTGCTGGCGTATATAACATACCTAATTGCCTAGGATATTTTGTATGAAATAAAAGTTTGTTAATATTTCATTATACATTTAATGAAAGTAATTTTTAAGTGGCTTTATGGGGGAACAAATGATTTTATATTGTTATTACAATATATAATTGCTGTGGACCGATAACATGCGGCCTGTCCGCTGGCATATGCGGTATATCTAGAAGGGTTAATACTCACTCGTGCTCTCCTGTTTGTGCATAAAATGAGCTTAAAATTTATAGTCCCATTTCTCAGCCTTCAATTATCATACTGGTATTCAGGTTTCCGGTTATTTTGTGCGTTGTCATATCTTCATTCGAGGTTGTGTATAGCTTCTGACTCCAACCACTTCATATGCTAGATAATTTCTTCACTACTTTGATATTGACAAAATTTTCAATTGTGTTTGTGACTCATTTTGGATAGCTGGTTTGAATATGAGTTCCCCTGACCGTAAAACACACAATCTAAGAATCTTTGTCTGATTTGTAAATTGTACTAAGAATTTTGTATGTCGTAATCATGTCTTCCTTAATTTATTGTCTGCCACTGATGAGAGACTGAATTCATTTAGCCATTTATCATAACTTATAGGTACATGTAATTAAATAAATTATGATTGCTAGCCATTTAGTACAAACAGTTGCAGAATATATGAATTGAAAATTAGAATGTCTTCGTGCGTGAGTTAAAATTGAAGAAACACGTCTTTTAAATCATGAATGGAGTATTTGTTTACATAAAAGCTGCAATATAAAAGACATTGTTCGTCAACAGGGCTTTAGACAAGCCTCAGACAAAAGCGAGAGACGAGTGAGTCTCCTTATGGGGATTTGCATAATAGGCCAAATTGTCCAATATCATGGAAGCGCATCCTGTCCAATCTAATCAGGTCGAGTCTTTTGTGTTAATAACCATAATGCAAATGAAATTATATTTTCCATCGTTGTTCGCTTTGAAGATTTATGTGGATGAAAATCTTTTTGCCTTATAATCACACATGTACACAAGAACTGGGCATACATGTGCTGTGCACACGAGACACGTACATGCACGCATTTTGCGCAGAAGCAATGTGCTTGCCATGCAATTTCCATGCATAAACACGCGGGTTAGTTTACTATTCTCAGTATTCAACGACAATGTATGCTAATTCAATACAGCAAGAAACTGTATAATGGAACAGAATGCCATAATCACAGCATTTCAATACAAGAAAATGAACTAATGTTAAGCAATATGAACTTTCATTATGTGAATCATTGATCAATACCGAACCAGGAGACTTACTGAATTTCCGACAATAACAATGAATTTCACTGAATCACCGATTATCAAACTTTTCTAATTTCATTAAGACACGCAGTACTCAGTGATGTTGTATTCTAACTTATTCGTTAAAACACGAATCTGTACTGATTTCAAATGTCCGAAGCACGCCTCTTCAGATCATGCTTATAACTAGTATTAAGTAATATGACTCTATTGAAAACTTTTATATATGTCCCCGTAACTTGATCATAAAAATAAATCCCAATGTAAACAAATTTACTCTTAATTGATGCTTAAGCAGCCATTCAAGAATATATTTTGTCAGGAAGACATGTGTGATATGAATGTGTGAATATGCTCTTTCAAAATCCATTTCTAATCTTCTTTATACAAAAATTTCCTGTTAACCATAGGCCTAGTCAGTCTTATCTAACTCACGAGAACCACATTAACTTCTGCTGCTTAATTTTCCTTAAATTTTCAGATACGAGAACATTGGCAAGGCTGGGGTTCTGAGGAAAGTGACTTCTAATTCGAAGGTGAGTCTATACTGGGTCTAAGTAATTCATTCTGGCTTTGTGTATATCATATATAAATACAATACACATAGAAAATTGTATATTATTATTTAATTAAGATATTTAATTGAATTAATTGTTGTTATACATGTAGATATTGTTGCTGGTTTAGAAGAGTTAGTGGTGGTAGAGGTAACTGAAGTTTTGGTAGTAGATTAAGTGTAAGTCGTCATAGTATAGGTAGAAGTGGTGGTAGTAGTGATAACATAAGTATTAACAGTTATTGCAGTAATAATAATGCTAATAGACAAGGTTCATCATACCGATTGTGATGGCAGCAGGAGTGGCGGTTGGGGTGGTGATGATGGTGGTGATTGTGGTGGTGTTGGTGGTTGTGGTGCTGATGGTGGTGGTTGTGGTACCCATAGTGATGGTTATGGAAGTAATAATGGTTGTAATGGTTTGAAATACTAGTTATATTATAATAATAAATATTGCTAATGTTCATGGTAGTTTGTTTTTATTGGACTTACGGCCAATCAACCTCCGGAGGATTATTAAGTCCACCACAATAACCTACTCACCTACCAGCAGTATACCTTAGCCCTAAACATAGTTCAGAACTAAAGTAAACTCAGTGTGTATACACCGAGACGTTGGGTATAAACCTCATTATTATACTATAATTATACTATACTGTTATATACTATAATGTATTATATTAATACTAAAACATCTGGTCAGGTATGATGATGGTCTTAAGGCCTATACACAGCGGATGATCGTTTAGGCTGCCACAATACCTTACTGATTATAAACCAGCAACAATACCTTGGTAATAAATCATTAACCGGTTTACTGAGCAATTCGATGTTTTCAGGTGATTCATTTACGACCCACGCAGAAGAACGACATTTACAACGTGTTCATGTACAGGAACGGCGAGGCAGGGAAAGCCGTTCCTTTCAAGTTCTCCAAGGCTGACTTTGGTAACTGGGAGGAGGCTTTAAACAAGCTATCGGAGAAGGTTCGACTCCCTAATGGCCCCGTTAAGAGGTCCGTAGTGTGTGTATATATATATATATATATATATATATATATATATATATATATATATATATATATATATATATATATATATATATATATATATCCACAATGTTATTATTTCCATGTTACATTATTTACATTTCATTCTCTGTCTCTGTCTCTCTCTCTCTCTCTCTCTCCGATTTCACGGAAGGGCGAAGAAATACACAACAATGATAAACAGAAAATAGGGAATGTATCTCATTCTAACTCCCTGAGATCTGGACTCTGATCTGATTTAGCACTATTTTTTTCCTTCGTAATTTTATCACATCTTTTCTGGAGATGCAGATATTCCTGATTCATGTGAATTTTGGAGTTCCAGTTTTCGTAAAAGAAAACCAAGAGCTCTAAGATATACTTTATCTAGAATTATTTCATCGTCCAACGACGGTTTCCCCGTGAATAAGCTGTGATTCTATGGAAAGTTAACTATTTTCGGCCTAATTAAGATTTTCGGCGTATGTGTTAGTGTGTCTGTGAGTAGGTTTTCATGCCTTGCCAGCTCTTTCACTATCTCTATTCCACCTGTTCCTATTCGTCATAATTTTCCGCTTTCATTTTCCCACTCTCACTCATTTTCCTTCCCAACTCTCCCTTCCATTTATCATTCCTTCCCACCCACTCTCTCCCTCACCTAACTCTTCCACCCACCTCTCTCACTTAAACCTTCAATATGCATTCATCCGCCCACGTAAGCCTTCCTCCCACCCACAACAGGATCTACCATTTGACTGGGAAGATCCTTAGCAAGCCTGAGGAACTTGTCAACAAAGGCAGCTACGTCGCGGCTGGCTCCAACGAACTCTTCAAAAAGGTCAATTACGGAGAGCTATCGAAACAAGAACCAGAGGTTGGCAGCGGTTACAAAGGTGAGTCGCTGAGAGAGAGAGAGGAGATTATTTTGCGGATTGTCCACTTTTTTGGCCTCTTTCTCCGACTCGCTCATCGGATACACAGTAAATTGTATTCTCAAATTATTCCACGTTGATTTATGCAACTCAAGTTGCTGGGAAATGAGGTTTATTTTGTATTCTCTTTTATTCCTCATCTTGCATATTAAAGACACGGAAAAATGTATTTACAAATAATCTGACATTGATTTTTTCTAACGGGAAAGTTGGGAAATAAAATGATAAAATTACTTTTTTACAAAAGGATTCCAAGAATATTGGTAAAATTAAGAATAAATGAAAGAATTTACCAACAAACCCATTTTCTAAAGACTACTGAGTTACTAAAGATAATTGTTTACACAAAGTTTCCCAAGAACAATAGTAAAATATTTCAAAAGTATTAATGAATCAATCCCCCCCCCCCTCAAAAAACAAACAAAAAACTTGTTCTAAAGATAACTAAAGATAACTGCTCTAAAGAGTTAAAACGAGTGTGCCTGTCTACCGACAATCTTTATTTTCTAAATATTTTATGCCAACAGAGACACGGTTTTTATAAAGGGGAGTTATTTGCTTCAGGTTTGTAAAATATTTACATATGGAATTTCTAGATATCCCTGGATTAAACCTCCAAGGATATCCAAGTGCGCTTTCGTACGTGCGTGTCTGTCTGTCTGAATGTACGTACGTTTGCATGCGTATACGTGAGAAAATTCAGTATTAACTTATGTTAGCAATAACACCATGTGTAGGCGATGAGTTACAATAACGTGGCTGAAGTATGTTGACCAGACCACACACTAGAAGGTAAAGGGACGACGACGTTTCGGTCCGTCCTGGACCATTCTCAAGTCGATTGTGATGAGGGAAGGTGGCGAAGAATGAATGGTCCAGGACGGACCGAAACGTCGTCGTCCCTTCACCTTCTAGTGTGGTCTGGTCAGCAATAACACCATATCAACACCTTCGTTATAGTATCATTCACACACAGCCAAGTCTCCAGCAGGCTGCTCCTGAGCCACATTGACAGTCACGGTAACATTACAGGGAGCAAGTACTACAAGGACCCAGTCAAGGGCTCGCAAAACGCATCTCAGGAACTCCCAACAGGCAACAACCGTACGAACTCCCTCGGGAGAAAAGGAAGGAGGAAAAAGACTGGTAAAACGAAGAAGGAGAAAGAGATAAATGGCAAAAAAGAAATTCCATCGACAGAACTCCTAACTGAGAATGAGAACCAATGGACGGAACAGGAGGAGGAAGAGGGTGAGCGCGATGTGGAAGAGAGAGGGTATGAGGAAGAAGAAGTTGAAGGGGCAGAAGAAGGGGATGATGGGGCCCTGACAGGGAGAGGACGACCAACCAGTGGTGCTCGAAGAAGGTCAGTGTCTCGAGTTTATTGTTGAATATGTATTCTAAATTTTCAGCTCTTTTTATATTGAGTTCATTTCACTTAATATGTTTGTATCTTCCACTGGGTATGGTGGGTCTTGTAGCGCAGTCTTATACATCCTCGGGCGTACACTTGAAGGACCTGGATTCAATCTCTGGTCTAGACAGAAACAGTTGGGCATGTTTTCTTTCACCTGATGCCTCTGCTTGTCTAGCAGTTAAATAGGTACCCCGGAGAGAGGCAACTGTTGTGGGTTGCATCCTGGAAGGTCAGAAGTTGCCCTAGAAGGGGGACCATGATAAGCCTAATTACAGGGTTCCTGTTACTTTCAAGACCACTACAGGGATGGTGGCCCTCAGGGAAATTTGGCCCCAACAACGGGAATTATATTATATAGTAAACAGTGTGTGGTACACGGTACCCATAATACGGGGTCGAGGGCATATACAGTGTACTAAGTAGTTTATTCAACCGTGTATTCCAATTTTCTTTGTAATCCAATCCACTGTGTATTATCCGTTAATTATCAGTTATTGTACTTGCTGTATTATATTTACTCTCCTCTGTCTGTTGCTTCATATATCTCTCATAACGTCCACTATTGATCGTCTTCTTTTCATATATAATATTCCACATGCATTGCATACATTTTATCATGGTGGATAAGACGGTGCAACTATCAGGCTAATTTTGCTTTCTCAGACTTTCTATCTACTGTTTGCATTTTATATATTGTAAAATATCTGTAGACTGACTTCCTCCCACAGGGCGGCTTCCGTTACTTCGTCCAAGGTCAGCACCCGTCGAGCGAGGTCCAGCAGAAGGAGCCAGGCTAGGCGCTCTAGGCAAGACGAGTCCTTGGAGCCCAATGCCGACACGCCTGAAGAAGGTCACGAACGCTCGTACCCCAAACATAAATCGTCCAACAACTCTTATGCGATTCCGAAGCAGATTCCGGAGAGTGACTTCTCGAAGGTGGACTACTTGAGTCTGAATGGCGCCTCCCAGCAGAATTCTCCACAAGATTCGCCGCTCACGACCCCCACCAACTCCAAGCCTTCCAGCCCGCGGGACTTCAACTATCGAACTCAGGGACAGTACAGTTACCCCTTCCACGAGACCATCGCAGAGGAGAGCGAGGGGGAGCTGCGATCTGTACATGCTGACCGTGGTCCGAGGGGTGACTCAGGGCTCTCCATGTACGACAGCGGCCACGCTTCGCTCTTCAGCGACGAAGACAGACCCGACAGCGTCTTCAGGGCAAAACAAACAGTAAGTTGGGTGGTCTTGTCTATTCCGGAGGAGCTCGACTATGACCGATGGAAGAGAAGTTTGTAATTTATCCAGCTGTTTATGTTTGTGAAAACAACTTTAACTGTCATTAAATTCCGTGTAACTGATTGTTTACCTCTAGTCTCCGCCAACCTTTTCTTTATATAAAACTTTAAATTTATTTATTTTACAGCGAAATGATTTCCTTAAAATTTTATTCTATTTATAATAAATATAAGTACACTGCACTCTTGAGCTACCTCTGAGGGCAGGACAACTGTTGTGAGAGCTTGGGGAGGTTGGTTAAACAATATATATATCCTTCATATTCAACATGATGGGATGTTATGTTTGAATTAAAGCCTCCTAAGTCAAATTTATATATAATGCATATCTCATTCTCTTTCTCTCTTTATCTGTCTCTCTCTCTCCATTATATAGAGAGATATATATATAAGATATATATACCCAAAACACGTAGTAATAATAGGTATAATATAGTCAGTATTAATAATTGACTAAATATTGTAATCAAATGTGAAAGTACTTACATAATCCTAACCGAACCTAAATTATGCCTATATACAAAATCACAAATTAGCATTACAAATTCAACATATCATTGCTTTATAATGTTACATCATTTCATTATTAAATATAACAGTACATTTCTTCGCGAGCTTGAGATTATAGTGTGAGGAAGTGCAAGAATCATCCATTATTGTACAGAACTCTAAACACGAACAATGTTTAATAGAAATGGAAACAGTTAATATAATGCAGGCTTCAGACAGGTGAAATAGACACAGTATTGAGCATATCCAACATACAAAACTACCAAATCTTAACACTCAGCAAACTAAGGATTCGTAATACATTCAATGGCACCCGAAGCTACTGCCATATAAAAAACACCTCAGCGTTCCCAGCACCTTAAAAACTCCCAGAATTCTAAGCGTTCCTTATCATCCTATGCTCTCTCTCAGCGCCACGTAAACTCTCACAGAATCCTAAGCTCTCTCAGCATACTAAGCTCTCCCTGAATGTTAAGCTCTCTGTGTCCTAAGCCCTCTCCGAATGCTAAGCTCTTCAGCTTGGTATTATTTCCATAATACCTTCTTATCTACCACTTTGCCTCTACATTAACAAGGACACCCCACTCAATATGTAGACACTATTCTTCCCACGGTCTCTTCCTCTCTCAGGAAGATTGAGAGACATATATTTCTAGTACGTTGACCAGACCACACACTAGAAGTTGAAGGGACGACGACGTTTCGGTCCGTCCTGGACCATTCTCAAGTCGATTATTTCTAGTACCTCTCCTCCGACGCCCTTCCCTCACTTGCTTAGTCTTCACGTCCCTTCATTATTTATACACACACACACACACACACACACACACACACACACACACACACACACACACACACACACACACACACACACACACACACACACACACACACACACACACACACACACACACAAGGGTGTGTGTGGGTGTAAGTAATGGAGGGACGTGAAGACTAAGCAAGTGAGGGAAGGGCGTCGGAGGAGAGGTACTAAAACTAAATGTCTCTCAATAAGGTCTTATTACTCTTAAATAAGGTCTTATTGAGAGGTTTTTGGTTTATCTGTCAATACAATACAATACAATACAATACAATACAATGCGACCAACAATACATTGACATCACTGAATGCAGAACGGATTACTCGTCCGCTGACTACAAACTACATTGTAGTCCACCCATGTAGTCTAACTACATGACATAGAACTGATGCACTGTACTGATAGGGTAGATAAAGACAGGCTATTGAACACAAGGGGCACACGCACTAGGGGACACAGGTGGAAACTGAGTGCCCAAATGAGCCACAGAGATATTAGAAAGAACTTTTTTAGTGTCAGAGTGGTTGACAAATGGAATACATTATGAAGAGATGTGGTGGAGGCCGACTCCATACACAGTTTCAGGTGTAGATATGATAGAGCCCAGTAGGCTCAGGAACCTGTACACTAGTTGATTGACCGTTGAGAGGCGGGGCCAAAGAGCCAGAGCTCAACCCCCGCAAGCACAATTAGGCGAGTACAATTAGGTGAGTACACAGGACCAAAGAACCAGAGCTCAACCCCAGCAAGCACAACTATATGAGTACACAACTACACAGACACTCACACACTCTCATACTCACAGACAAACACACACAACCACACACTTATACTCACACACAAACACTCTCTTTCATCTCATCATTAAAGCCAAAATATATACTGTGGATGCTGTTTATCACTTCCTTTGTGCATATTTTTTTACACAAACGTCTTATTTTTTATTCCCCCCTTTCATTTTCTTCACCCATTTATTGCCATAAGGTTCCTTCCTCTACATCTTCCCATTTCCTCTCCACTAATCATCATTTTAATATTGACCCTTTAAGCTTCAGCTAAATTATTAATGATCTTAGTCATATTAGTCATTAATTAGCCCCTCCTTTTTCCTCCACTAATTAAGCTAATTTTTATGCAATTTCCCTGCTTTCATACATGATCACTTTTATGACACATAATGAGGCAAATGATGAAGTAAAAACATGTAAAACCGAGCGAATGAGCAATAAGGACATGACAACTCTGCTAGGGGTTCGTACCTTTTTTTTATATAAACAAGGAATAAAACATTCTCATAATAATAATTATGTTCTTGAAGCATAATGTATATGAGAAAGCGAGAATATATATATATATATATATATATATATATATATATATATATATATATATATATATATATATATATATATATATATATATATAATATATATTATATATATATATATATTATATATGTGTACATACAAAAGAATGGGGGTGGTAGGAGAAGATAATATTAGTGTTCAGTGAGAGACCACAAGGTCTCCTCTGAATACTTTTTATTTTCTTCTCCGAGGCTATGGGTCCCCACATTGGCAGCACAGGTGGTACCCTCACACATTAAAAAAAAATATATATTATATATATATTATATAATAATAATAATAATAATAATAATGTTCATTTCTTTGTTCGAGGTTGGAGGCCAGATGCTTAGGGCTAGACTCACCAAACTTTCCGAAATTAATTAACGTGTATGATAATGTCAGAGACCAGTCGGGATTGACTCGTGTCACACTATAAGAAATATCGGCATCAAAAGCGACCCTGTGATTTTTATTCAGAGGCCCGCTAAATTTATTTGGGTTACAGTATTATATTTTCATTCAGAAATAAAGTAGCGGGTTTTATTTTCCATAGCATTTCCATGACTGTTTCCGCTAAATTCATTTTCGTTACATCATCACATTTTCTGAGAGACTGAGAGAGAGAGAGAGAGAGAGAGAGAGAGAGAGAGAGAGAGAGAGAGAGAGAGAGAGAGAGAGAGAGAGAGAGAGAGAGAGAGAGAGAGAGAGAGAGAGGAATACCTCGACAGTTTCCAAAACTCTTACCCCTCCCATTTTGTCTTATTCCCATCACAATTTACATCCCACGTTTGTCCCCTGGGATTTACTTGGACAGGTCGATTCTGCGACGTTTCCGTTTTTCACAACTTTACCGTTCGATTCCTGGTGATGCAAGTGGTTTACCACCGCGTCATTACTCCGCTTTCACATTCTGACTCTTAATCTATCCTCATATTCTTTCCATGGGCTGTGTAATCATTACGGCTTAGCGCTGTCTCTTGCTAATTAGCTTTCCTTACCCCTCAGCCTTTCAATCGCGTAATCCTCTCTGCCACTCACCCACACAGCACTCCCGTCCAAGGACGCGAGCTGTAGAGGTAAACTACGACACAGACGACGGAGGAATTTACAGGTCTAAGAAAAGGGCGGATTACTCGAGGGGCGCCTTGGAGATCCTTGATTCCACCGACACCAACATCGAACTCCCAGTGGACCTCATGGACCCTGTGGAGGTTCAGGTGAGTGGCTGTGTGCTTAAATATGCTTGCAGATTATGTTTCGGATCTCTGATCACGCTTCTCAACCTTCAGTCAACTGGTCAACTGATTATTGAGCTTACTGCGCTAAATCCTATTTTCCTTAGAGAATGTTTTATGCGGTTGCTGAATTTCCACGTGTGCTCCAGAATTCGTGTACCATCTCAAATAGTCTTTCCAGTCAACTCTTGAGATTTTTATATGTGGTCATCATGGTTTTCCTAGTTTTCTGTTTTTAGTTCTTATGTTTTCTATTAGCCTTTTTTCGTCAGTCCATATATAAGTTATGCAACCTGTCTATCCAAACATCTGCTTTTAGTATTTAAAAGGATATGGACTCCATGTAGGGCCCCGCATTTTTCCGGATTGTATTGATAAATGTTGCATATAGGATCTTGAATTATTTAAAATACAGTTATTATGCCCTGTGGGCCAATAATGATGCTGTATTTACCGCATGTGTTATGAATGTATTCTAGTAATTGTATTCATCTATCGGTATATAAAGAATACGTTGTGTTATCTATCTTCCAGGAGGAGGTGTACGCCACGTGATGGGCTGCAGAGCACACGCAGGCGTGTATTACAACGAGGTGAAGAGCTTCACTAACTACGGGCTATTCATGCCCGTGCCACCTATTGGGCTTAGCCTTCATCAATCAAGCTTCACTAAGCCAGTGTATGAACCACTCTCTCTCTCCCGACACATTACCTCAGCACATCCTTCCAACACACCTCAACATGGGTATGTCATGTGTTGAGACAATATATATATATATGTCGTACCTAGTAGCCAGAACGCACTTCTCAGCCTACTCTGCAGGGCCCGATTTGCCTAATAAGCCAAGTTTTCCTAAATTAATATTTTCTCTACTTTTTTTCTTATGAAATGATAAAGCCACCCATTTCATTATGTATGAGGTCATTTTTTTTATTGGAGTTAAAATTAACGTAGATATATGACCGAACCTAACCAACCCTACCTAACCTAACCTATCCTATCTTTATAGGTTAGGTTAGGTTAGGTAGCCGAAAAAGTTAGGTTAGGTTAGGTTAGGTAGGTTAGGTAGTCGAAAAACAATTAATTCATGAAAACTTGGCTTATTAGGCAAATCGGGCCTTGCATAGTAGGCTGACAAGTGCGTTCTGGCTACTAGGTACGACATATATATATATTGGGAAAACTAGAGACCCACGAGCGGCCAGTTTCCTGGCCGCTTCCAGGACAAAGTGGTGTCACTTGAAAAGCTCAGTTATAAGAATATATTATACAAATGTGTTCTTCATTCTTATAGCATTTAATTGATAGCAAAGACTAAAATGTGTTTCGTAACACTAAATGTTTTTTTTTAAACCGGAAGTGCCTTTTAAAAAAAAGCCGAACATCTGTAAGGAAATCGTGTTAGTGACGTCTATTTAAAAGAAAATTAAAATAAAATTAAAATAAAATTCAAATTTGTTCACTTAGAGATTTTAAATCACTCAAGGGCTTCTTAGCTATTGTCTCAATAAAACCAAGAGCCTTATAGTAGCTCTGAATATTATTAAAAAATTACGAACGACATTATCTGGCTATTTTTGACTGAAAACTTGTAAACATATCAGCAGGCGCAGTGACCGAGCCTGGTGCCAAACACCCTCGGTGTTGTCATTGTAGTTCTTCAGCCCTTGCACACGGCTCTTCTGTGGGAATTAATTCAATACGTGTAGAAGGTTTGGTTTTATGTTGGTTTTAACACCTGTTGAATGGTGGGTTTTATGCTGCTTCAACACCTGCAACAAAAGATTGCCATTCACACGTTTTCAACTCCTGTTAGCGGCAGCATCAGAACGCCTTTCGGGTGTCCTAAGCTTCCTTACATCTGCAGGAATATGCAACAGACTTTACTGGGTATTCGGCTTCAGTATTGCTGAAGTACCAGAAAAATACAGCACGTGCTCAAGACGGACAAACATACAAAGTAAACGACGTTACCAAAGGATTCAAAGTTCAAGATTTGTGGTGGAATGGAATATATAATTTCCCCACAGCACTTATGGAAAATATTTAACCTGTTATTCGAGCATTCTGCAACAGAAAGTCAACTTTTCAATAAACGGAGGAAACTATAATATACAAATTTTCGAACGCTATCAGTTGTGAGTCATGTGAAAGCATTTTTCATTCACAAACGTTAGATGGTTGCATGGAATGAACATTTTGCCTTTGTTTGTAAAGGAGACTGCGCAATGGACAAGCCAGAAGAGAAGCAAACCCATTTTCTGTTTCAAAGCTTCGAAGTGAAACAGACTTACTGATGAAAAAAAATCGGACTATAATCGAATTGGATAGTACATAATTTGTATATACACATCTTGAATCCACCGACTTTTGTTTTAATCTTGGGCTGATATATGTATAATAGATACTATTAGTAAGACAAGTGTGTTTTGAGGTTGACAGATTATATTAAGCGTACCCAAATGTGTTCGAAGTTTCTGTTCGAGTTGAACTCTTTTCGTTTATAATACATTTAGATAATCTATTTAACCCAACTAAGTAAATCATGAACTACCATATATACAAACCCTTTCCAAACCTTGATCTATTTCAACAGCGTATTTATTTACCAAATTACACATACGTATGTGTTTACTAATCAATATATCGAATCATACAGAATGATATATGTGATGGTTTTTTAAATAATAGTTGAGGCACTTGTGGTCCCTGTCATTCTAATAAACAACATCTTAACACATAATCTTCATCATTGCAACATCTTTACCGTGACTGACTTCTTGATCCCTTCACCCTCGAAGTTTCTACAAAGTACGAATTTCGTGAGCTACATCTTGGTTTGGAGTTCGGCTCAAGTCCTATCAACTACTGGAGGGTTATTAAGGCAATTACACCAGCTCACTGATCAACCAGTAAGTATACTTAAGTCTTAAACATAGTTCAGGACTAAAGTAATCTCTCAGTGTATATACACCAGTGTATATACACCAGTGTATATACACCAGAGTATATATCTCACATTATTCACCAGAGTTGTGCATTATATCAACATACACGGTTCCAGTGTGTGTACATCCGCACTACAAATGATCTTGCTCATTATTTATTCATTAGTGAGGCCGACCCTCCCGAGTCCTTGAGTCCCACATAAGAAACGAAAGAGATGGGTTATGAGGCGCCCCTTCCCCACTGTGAATTTCAGGGTTACCCTGCATCAGTAACCTGTGGAATTTCCTTGTCGTTCAGAACATAAACAATGGTGATCATGTCTTTGGAAAGCTTAGAACGTGTAACGAGCAAAAAATCAATCATCGCTAAAGTCATGGTCCAGGAGTTAGAAATTCATATAATTAGTGCCTTTCTCAAGCCAAATGGTGAAGCGTTTTCAATTATTTATTTTTAAAATCATCCTCAAGCTCGTCCAAACTGAGGTCGACCCGTAAGACGCATTAATGAACTTTAACGAACTTTAGAAACAAAGTAAATTTTCTGATATGTAACTTAATATAAATATTAAAAATTTTCATGTAGTTATGACTAGAATACGTTAGTTTAGTTGTTTTGGTTCGGATTTCAATTATTTTTCATTCTAGTGCGTGGGTGAGGAGCGATTCGAACATTTAAAGTGTGTGAAACACTGTTCGATAAAAGTCTGAACAACAGCAGTCGTGTGTTATGCGTAAAAGAGCTTATGATTCATGAACAGGAGAACAGCTGCTGAATTAACAAGAATTTGGTCACTGTTAATGAGGACAGTTTGTGATTCTCTTATGATTGTGTTCTTTCATTGAACAGTTCTCCGCTCGCGATGAGTCACAATAACGTGGCTAAAGTAAGTTGACCAGACCACACACTAGAAGGTGAAGGGACGACGACGTTTCGGTCCGTCCTGCACCATTCACAATCGACTTGAGAATGGTCCAGGACGGACCGAAACGTCGTCGTCCCTTCACCTTCTAGTGTGTGGTCTGGTCAAGTTCTCCGCTTACTTTTTAAGTACCGTAAATACCAACGTACCGTAAATACAAATAATTACCAGCATAATCAAAACTCATAATCTAACCTACCCTATGTCTATTTTTGCACAAAAAAACAACAATTGTAATAATGGTTATTTCATAATTGGGAAAACATAGTTTTTAATTAAACAGAGTGCAACAAATATATAAGTGCACACTTGGGAATGACTAAAGTGAGGCCACGCTGATCCCAAGATGTAGTACATTCTCGTACCAATAGGCTTGAGAATGAGATAATCTCGTACATTTCCATATGAAATGCAATGATATGAAAAGCAAATATTCACTTATTAGCTGTCATTCAGTAGCCTGCGATACATATTAGCATAAAGGGAAATGTCTGAATATACATATATATATATATATATATATATATATATATATATATATATATATATATATATATATATATATATATACACACACACAGAGATGCGATATTCTACGATGCTCAAGACAGTTTCGTTGTTGCCAAAGTTATGTACAAAATTACATATTTAAAGTTTGTAACTATTACATGAAAATGCAATAAAGTTAAATATTATTTCCATATTTTATTTAATATTCCTATTTTACACTACAATTAGAAAACAATTGTATTGATTGGAATACGGTATCACGCCGAAAATCTAAGAAACTAGACAACCATCGACTCATGACAGGCATACGGATAACAATGATCTCTTGCCCTCTGAGGAGGATAAAGAAGACGTTATCATAAACAACAAACAGACTGGAGGAGGTGCACAGCCAGCCCCCAAAAGTAAACAAAGTCCCAAGTGGCTTGAGTACCAACACACGCTCAACCAAGGTAAAATAAATTCTCCTGTTGACCAGACCACACACTAGAAGGTGAAGGGACGACGACGTTTCGGTCCGTCCTGGACCATTCTCAAGTCGATTGTATCTATCAAGTTGATTGTCGATCAAATTCTCCTGTTCTGAAAACCTTCATTATTTCCTATGAAGACAGTACAGTGAAGAATAGGAGTGCTTTCGATAATAGAACAAAGCATTATATACAATAGAAATCCCAATATATATTTAATATCGGAGTGCACGATATAAGACCAAACAAATTAAAGAATTTAGTTGCAGTGGACCACAACTACAGCAAGCAATCAACAGAGCTCAATGTGCAGACGATGTGTTACAGTAATGTATCTCAAGATATGATGTCCAAACCACGCAACAGAAAATGAAGAAACGACGACGTTTCGGTCCGTCCTGGACCATTCACGTGATAGAAGTCACGTGATAGAAGTCACGTGATAGAAGAGAGGAAGGTACGGGTAAATAAATAAGGAAAGAGAGTAAGGTGAGGAGCGCAATAACATTACCGAAATCCGTGAGTGCAAAGTGAGATTCTACGGTCCATTGGGCGACATTAAAAAAACGTCAAGTCAATTATGTCCTAGTCATTATTGAAGAAGGCATCCAATCTTAACTTCTAGTAGATGAAATTCCCGTCTACAGAGTAAAGAAATTTATGGAAAGAGAAGAAGGAAAACAGTGATACAGGCACAGCCCTACTTGCCTAAACGATCCTCCATCTGAACGGGTTTGGATGAGTTGTTATCTTTATAAACTACACGTATACGAACCAGGTCTAACTCACTGTTTCATATGTAAAGCAATTAACCCCATCTGGAAAGAACGCACAAAAGACATTACATGTGGAATTTGTTCGAACTCCCATCACACAGAAACATGCACTTCAAACACACTGAAATGTTCAAACTTTGAGGGCGATCATGACAATATCTAAACAATGCTGTTCGTACAGAGCAGCATAAAAAAAAAAAAAAAAAAAAAAAATAGGGCTTTTTCCTACACCAACTTGCAATAAAGTAGTGCCCTGAAACAACACATGGCAGTTCTTAACAAACCACCACCAATCACGAAGCAACAAACTTTGCACTTATTAAATGGCCTCGTTACTAACCATTCTACACCCCCTGACAATAATACACTCCCACAAAACTTACAACTAAACCCAGACTTCATCCAGACATTTATACTATGAAAATGACAATGGAAAACGAAAACAAAAAAATTCAGACTCCTTAATAAACTCTTAACAAAGCCAACCCACCCCTCAAGACTGACTCAACACACACCCCATCCACGTCTTCAGGAAGTGAAATCCGAATAAACACAACTACCAATGGCATAAACAAGACAATTAATAGAACTAATACTGGACAAAATCCTTTATAAATACTTAGCAAAACTTACCGTCCGCCACGCTGACTTGCCACAAAACACAACCACTAGAACTGAGGGTGAAAAGCCTCCAGCTGTCGGAACACACTCCAAACGACTTAGCGCTCAGACTGAAAAACCACAACGCCCACACTCCCTCACGACACCACCTGCCGTCCCCCACCCCCCACCTCCTCAACCATTCCCAGATACCAAACACGCTGCACTACTGGAACACCAAGTAAAACATATGGAATCCCAACCCAAACATACAGAGTGGCCCCTTGACCTTCATGACTAGAAACGCAAAAAGAATCAAAACATCACTGACAGAGCTTAAACAAATTCCTCTACTCATCGAAACGAGATCTAGCTTTCCTAATAAAATCATAGCTAACTCCCAAACATAATCCCATATTGAAAAACTTTCAAATGCAGGAACACAACAGAACTAACTGCATTACTAACTAGCAACAATCAGACATAAATACAGAATAGACATAATTTTGTATTGACTGCCATGTTCCAAAGACAATTGAGCATTACCTCCTTCACTGCTCCACGCATCATAATGTTAAGACTAATTTCAAACCAGTAATTATCACGGTCAAAATCCCCTTAAATTTTAAACATATTTTAAGGGAGATATCTTACTTTATATAAAATATAAAATATCCATAACATTGGCTAAATATCTCCAGTAACCCAATATTAGGCCTCATTTGACCTATTCATAACTCAAACTCCAGGGATAAACAGAAAGCGCAGCACTAACTACACAAATAGCAACGAGCAGTTGTCGCTGTACACACACCACCACCACAACCTGTCCTCAGGCCAGGCTAGATAGAGGAGCCGCCATACCCCCTCCCCCCAAATGCATTCATCATTTTTATTAGAGTGCATTAAAAATTGCATTTCTTTTTATATATAAGTTATTATTATTATGCATAATTTTCGGGGTTCAAACAGAAGCAATTTTAGAGAAATGTTCGAAGGTCATCAGTTGCGACTCGTGTGGAAACCGTTTTCTGTTCATAAACAGGGGTTTGTCGCCTCACTATATGAGGACGGGCTGAACTTTCAAGCTTTCGCCGCCAATTGCATCAAGTGCATCTCTAAAGCCAGTCTGGCTTAGTCGCTGCCCTTATATCAACTGTAAACAACACCAACAACTTCCAAGCCTTGCCAAATAAACACTGACGTACCGATCGACTTGAGAATGGTCCAGGACGGACCGAAACGTCGTCGTCCCTTCAACTTCTAGTGTGTGGTCTGGTCAACTGACGTACCATTATGAAGCGTCTCCCGACATCTCCACTCGTGCGGGGAGCGGAGGAGAAGAACCTTCATGTAAACTAACGTTCCATAAAGAAGAAGGGAATTGAAGGGTTAAAAAGATCTTTGGGAATGAAAGATCTAAATATTTATTTATTTATGAGCAAATATTTGAACAGCCAGTATTTATAAGTGTGTTTGGGATCGCCGCAGCTTCAAGGACCATAGCCTGAGGGATGGGTTGAATAAACCAAACCAGATCTGAGATCGAAGGCTAAAATGTGCCTTTTAATTAATTAGCTCAAAATCTTACAGAATTTTTTTATTAGAAAAGCATTTGAATAGAAAACTCACTCGGAACAGATGCTCTAAGCTTTTCTGCTTTGAAAGATGAGACAACTTTTACAAATTTCGTTGACACCTGCGGGGTGGGTACGGGGACAAAAAGGCTAATTAATTGAGGATACTCTATAAAATATCGTCAGAGTATTATAGCCCATAGCACCATGCAGCTTGCAGCCAACACATCCTCCAATATAACAGCTAACAGGAGCACTTCTAACAGCTTCCATACAGCAAACAGAAGCACTTCTAACAGCTTCCATACAGCTAACAGAAGCACTTCTAACAGCTTCCATACAGCTAACAGAAGCACTTCTAACAGCTTCCGTACAGCTAACAGAAGCACTTCTAACAGCTTCCATACAGCTAACAGAAGCACTTCTAACAGCTTCCATACAGCTAACAGAAGCATTTCTAACAGCTTCCATACAGCTAACAGAAGCACTTCTAACAGCTTCCATACAGCTAACAGAAGCACTTCTAACAGATTCCATACAGCTAACAGAACCACTTCTAAAGCTTCCATACAACTAATAGAAGCACTTGTGAATCACTTTAGGTGATATAGCGTGACGTCCCAATTTCTGCGAAACTAATTTCACTGATTCTGGGGCCAGAGACGATTGAGATGGGGAAGAGAAAGGTCTTTGATGTTGAGGTGAGGGGATGAGGTTGGTAGATGAGGTTGTTATTAAATTTCAGGCAAAACCGATTGGGAATATGTCATCTGATGGTCGGTGATGGTACCGTAGGAGTCTGCAGTGTCGTTGAGGGAACTGGAGAGAAAATACACATATTTTACTGATTGTAGGTACAACCTCTGTATTTTTAATTTTTATCAATATTATTTTTTTTGTTTTTTATTATAAATTAATTTTTTTCCATATTTGGCCTTTAATTTTTATGTTCAAAAATATGTTTTACGTATGTTTTTTCTTGATATATGTTAAATGTGAAAAATCACTAATCATATATTGTCGTCCACTGACGAATCGGCGATCACTATAGTATATGTTAGTATGTCAGAATATATATTAGGAAATCAAAGCATATATTTGTAAATACTGTAGTATATTTTAATAAACATTCAACAGGTACTTTTCGTATACTTTATTTGCAAAATTATAATATTTCCATTGAACAGAAAGACAATGAGATCTTTGTCTACGTTGCTGAAACACCTGAAAGATGAAGATAGTGACAATTGAGTGAGCTGGAGATTAAAGACCGGTGGAAGAAACGCGCACAGATGGTGAAAAGAGTTAAAGATGGCGGAGAAAAAATTCTGTAGATGAATAAAGGTAGATAAATGCAGATGGTGGAAAATAAATCAAATAGTAGAGAGGGGGACATGTGATGAAGATGGAGACAGACGATAGAGAGGAAGACAGGTAGACAGGTACACATAGATGGGTGTCACATAGAAACTAATAAATCACACCATCATGCAATATTTTCACAGAAACATTACATTATATAATATATACAATATATCAGTTACGAGACACAATGTGATAATCTGTGATCCCTGGCAATCCTAGACTTCAAACTTTAATGGTAAATGACACTTAAGTCACTCATATCAGAAGCCAATGAGCGACTAATCTGAAGCCGACAGGGCAAAGTGTCTGGAAGAACAAGTGGAAGGATGCTGTATAAAGAGAAAAGCAAATATTATGCTCAGTTACATTGTAACATTAAATTACGTAGTTTAAAATGCTTAAATTATCTTGTGATGTAATTCCATCATAATATACATTAAAATATACCTTACAAGGTTATTTTAAGATTAGGATAATCAGTATGTTCCCCATTATTTTGTATTATCAATTTATGCTGAACATCATAATTCAGCATAAAGCAGCCAAAGAAAATGCCCATTTCCCCTAAATAATTGCTCGACAGATTATAAATTCTTCAGCAGGTTGATTGATCTCGTTTCCAGTACACTTTCTTACTCATATCCTATTACAACACTCAGTCCTGCAGAGCGCCTATTTCTTCAAGGATTGGAGAATACTGATAACCCAGAAACGACAAGACTCCAGTACTATTTACATATGAAAATATATTACACGCACATAAACAGACACATATTTTGACAGTTATCCACAGATTACATTTCTAGTTATATATTGTGCTTTATGGAAAGTATAAGAGATAAGTTATTTTTCTATGCACCTTTCACCAATCAACGAACTGACAATGTGAACCAGAATATATACATTGATTACTGAATAATAATTAGTACATACATTATTATATATATATATATATATATATATATATATATATATATATATATATATATATATATATATATATATATATATATATATATATATATATATATATATATATATATAAATATATAAAGATAATGGTGTTAAGAGGGAATGGAATTCAGAGGGAAGTCTCCCAAACAGGCCTCTGAGTTGCCGTGTGTGCATATGTGAGCCAGCGGTAATATGGATGGAAGGACATATGTGATCCTGGGGGCATATGTAGATGTGCGGTTGTGAGAGCGAATACGGTCGTCTGAATTTGAGGGTATTTGTGGCTTTGTGGGTGTTAAAGAGTATGTTGGTGCTTTGTGAGAGTATGTGGGCGTGTGGTTGTGGGGACGTATAAGAGTAAGGGCGTATGTGGACAAGTGGATATGAGGCCTTTTTATGTGGACGTGTGGGAGCGTATGTGGAAGTAGAGGTATGAGGGCCGTATATGTACTTGTGTGTGTGTAAGAACGAATGTTTTAGGGGGTATATGGATATGTGGATGTTGTGTAGTATGTGGACGTATAGGTATGAGGGCGTATGTGGATGTGTGAGTATGAGGACTCATGTGCGATTTTTTTTCTTTCCAACTGAAGACAAGTTTGCGTTTTTCCACTATTTAAACATACTATATCACAATTTTTTTTTATGAAAACTGCAATCACAAAAAAATATATGAATTCCTCGAAGTACCTACGACAAAGCATAAAATTGTTAATCCAAATAAATAATAATCTTGAGAATTTATTCATAAATTGGGGCATGTATTTTAGAAACAGTACAAAGGTTCACTGCATAAAATACAGGAGCATCTACTCTCAATGTTCTTGCTAAGACAGATCTCAAATCCTGCTTCATAATGATGTGAGATCTTTTAGTGTTGAACATAGAGTCGTCTCGCATTTAAAGAATATGTAAATAATACAAAAAACATAAAAATGAATTCCTCACTGATTAATCATTTGTTGTAAACAAGAATATAACTCTTGAGCTTTCGCTTTAACACATGCGTTGTTTGATGTTTACACGGTAATGAGTTCCAATTGTTTACCTCGTGAGATGATGATTAATTATCTGCTGGCTAAACGAAATGGTAAAAATGATAGCTGTTGAGAGAGATGGATTGGTTCATGTAATGTGTAGTGGTGAGATCTTGTCCCTGCCTGTATGATAGCTACGTGCTTTTAATACACTTAGATATATTATATGTCATGTAAGGGCGTTAAAGACATTGACAAAGAAGATGAATCTTCTAAGCGGTAAGTGGTTTCAGTCGTGGATAGATCGGAGAAGGCACTGCCTTCAGTAATGGATAGATCAGAGAGGGCACTGTCTTCAGTAATGGATAGTTCAGAGAGGGCACTGTCTTCAGTAATGGATAGATCAGAGAGGGCACTGTCTTCAGTAATGGATAGATCAGAGAGGGCACTGTCTTCAGTAATGGATAGATCAGAGAGGGCACTGTCTTCAGTAATGGATAGATCAGAGAGGGCACTGTCTTCAGTAATGGATAGATCAGAGAGGGCACTGTCGTCAGTAATAGATAGATCAGAGAGGGCACTGTCTTCCTTAGTGGATAGATCAAGTAAGATTGGAAATATTTTTCATAGTTAGAAATATATCCGCAAGAGGACTTACAGATAGAGCTACACGCACCCTAAGAAGTTACATACTTATAAGTGAGATTGAGACTGAAGCAAATTCGGTGCCGGGATACGAAATTGAGCACCTGGCTAGTTGGCTCGTAACCGTACTTAATGGTCTTCAACTTAGTCGTTCCGCAACTGTACTCAACTTAGTCACCTTGCAACTTGGTGTTCTCACTAACGCTTCGTATCATAGCTACAAATGTTCTGATTAGAGTGTATAATGCTTTGGGAGTCTTGAATACCTTGCAGCACCAAATTAGAGATAAAAGTCTTCTCTGAATTCGAACTCTAGATTGCAAAACTTTAATTACGAATGGGATAAAATTCTTGGAAAACTTGACAAGCCAATGCCAGAAAAATGCTGGATACAATTTTTATTCTGGTTAGAGTTAACTGGAAACCATTTTAATTTTGGTTAGATTAAACTGGAAAGAGTTTCAATTCTGGTTAAAATAAATTGGAGAGAGTTTTAACTCTGGTTAAAAAAAAGTGTATTAATATTCAGAACATCTAAATAATCCATTTTAAGTGAGAAAGATCGCATTATTTAAATTTCTGGATATATAAGTAGGACTTGGTCAGTTCTAGCAGCAAAAATATAAGGCGGAGTTATCCTGTTATCCCGGCCTCCAAAAAGTATTATTGTGTTTATCCTGGCGTTCAGGAAGCGTTATTTGTGATTATTATGGCGGTTAAAAGTGTTGTTTGTACTCATCCTAACGTTCAGAAAGTGTTGTTTGTCTCCTGTGAAAATTGTTTCCTGGGAAGATTCAAGGGAATGTCTGATAGAGTCCAGTAGTGTTCAATATCACTGTTATAGAGTCCAGTAGTGTTCAATATCACTGTTATAGAGTCCAGTAGTGTTCAGTATCACTGTTCGAGAGCACTAATCTATATTAACTGGTTCCACCTCGCCTCTGAAACTGATGCACGACCTAGTGAAAAATAGACCTTATAAATCGGTGAACTATATGTGTAACAGATCTCTAACCCTGTCCACGAAAGAAAGAATGAAATGTATATATGCTGGTCAGCATTGTAAACGTATGGCAACGTCTGTGGTAGAAAATAGTGAACAAAATACACATAGAAAACCTTCAGAGTATCCAGTGTGACTCTCAGAATGTACTCTCAGCAAGGCGAGAAGCTTTAGCGAGTAGAGGCGACCCCTCGCACGAATCAATGTTATCGTAAAGGATAGCTGAGGGAGGAGACAACTCCCCCAATACCGATTTCGAAGCCAAGTTCACATGAAACCCTTGAACAGATGGGGTGGAATCCTGTTTGCTGCTTTCGGCGTATATGGCCGTATCTTGCGAGGGGTAGTGAGACAAGGGGTGGAGTACCAGAGCGGGGTCCAGGCTGCCTAAGTCAGTAGTTGCATACCAGGGAAGGGTTGGAGGGTCGCTGGGCTGCTGTACCTCCACAACCGCGAGGTTCACCATCACTGACTGCGGCTAGAAAATAACACCTTTTCACAAGCTTACAGTCTACGGGTTTCATTAAGGTATAAAATGTATTGAGAGATATGTTTGATTTATGAGTGATAATCGTGTGAATACGTGTGTGTGTGTGTGTGTGTGTGTGTGTGTTGGTGCGTAGAATATAAAATCGAGTCCTCAACCAAAATTCTCTGAAACACAAGGTCTTTAAGTCATTGTAGCCAACAATGATTAACAGAAAATCTGCGATAGCTCGATGTTGAGAAAAAAAAATCACATCGCAGGCGATGAGAATTAGCGACACTGATCGTCACAAAATATTTACAATAACCAACAGTTACATAAGCACACAGCCACGTCAATCACCATAAGGCCAAAGTCAACAAATTTCTCTCTCCCTCACGTCTAACACGTTGACATAAGCTACAAGCACTGAAAGACTCTACTGACAGGACTCTCAAGCCATGCAAAATATAAACACACAACGAGTCCCTTCGTTACCAGGCGTAATTCAATGTCGGAGTGTTTGGTGTTTACTTCCGTGACGCATTGTCAGAAAGGTTTGGTTGAGGATCTGTGTTTACGCAAAGACCTGCAGGGAAATTATAATTCTCATGTGGCAGCTTTGCAGATGCAGTGCCCAGGCTGAAGGAGCTTTGAACGACAGACAGACAGATAGACAGACAGCCAGACAGACTAGACGAGCCCCATGGGGGCTTATACGCTTGAAGACTTCCTGGTGGTGCGGTCACCAGAACAAAATTACGCCATTTCTGAATTTACCCATTAATTCTACAGGGAAGGAGAGGGGGGGGGGGGTTGTATGAAGACGAGAGAGCATGGAGGCTAGGATTAAAGTGGAGGAGAGGAAGAGTAGATGAAGGGGAGAGGAAGAGGGCGAAAGGGAAGAAGGGAAAGAGAGGAATGAAAGGGAAGAGAGAGAGAGAGAGAAAGAGAGAGAGAGAGGGAGAGAGAGAGAGAGAGAGAGAGAGAGAGAGAGAGAGAGAGAGAGAGAGAGAGAGAGAGAGAGAGAGAGAGAGAGAGAGAGAGAGAGAGACCCGGGCATCAGCGAGCGAGTAAATATGTATGTAAACACAAAGAAAAATCGATGGGAAGAAAACTGGACAAGAAAAAGGTACCAAAAAACACAATAAACATGACTATCAACACTACAATATTACCACAAAAAACACACACACTTACACACACAAAAACCATACAACCCGCACCTTCCAAACAAATGTTTTAATCTACCTGGTTAGCGACGTCGTTGGAGACGCTCTTATCCTGGAGTGAGAGGCAGTTCTCCTGGGAAGTGGAGCCGTTCACCTTGGAGCCAGATAGGAAGCTTGGAGGCATCCCTCTCCCTGTGTAGCTCCCATGTCTCCTGCGCCCTCCTCCTGGACCCGTTCCATGCACTCCTCGGCTGGGGAGAGAGAGGCAACGTGGATGGTGGAGAGAGGGAACTATTGAACTATCAGGGGGGAAAGCGCCAAGCCATTACGACTATATAGCACTTGGAAGGGGTCAGGATAAGGATTTAGGATGGGACGGGGGTTCGGAAGGAATGGTGCCCAGCCACTTGGACGGTCGGGGATTGAACGCCGACCTGCCTGAAGCGAGACCGTCGCTCTACCGTCCACCCCAAGTGATTGGATGTGGAGAGAGGGAGAGAATGTTAGTGTGAGAAAGACCGTGTTGATATTTGCAAGAGTGAGGCAACGATCAGAAAAGGAACGAACTGTAGAGAGAGAGAGAGAGAGAGAGAGAGAGAGAGAGAGAGAGAGAGAGAGAGAGAGAGAGAGAGAGAGAGAGAGAGAGAGAGAGAACTGATGAGAACAATCCCAATGAAATAAACCCCCTTCTGAGAGGTAGCAATTAGATTCATCTGTTGTATTAACTCTCAATTAATTTTGAGCGGTATTTCACCAAAACTAAGCGGGGCAGCACTCACCTGAAGTATGTTCTCGAGTGTGAGAAAGCAGAGTGGAAGCTTATGTTCTCTCCTTCTTTGTTCATCCACCAGTGATGCCAGATCTTGCGCAGTTCCGATCTCACTTCGGCGTTCAGCAAGCAATATAAAGTTGCAACGAAAAAGCCCTGGAAAAAAGTAAATTAATGAAAACAAATAGAGAGAGAGAGAGAGAGAGAGAGAGAGAGAGAGAGAGAGAGAGAGAGAGAGAGAGAGAGAGAGAGAGAGAGAGAGAGAGAGAGAGAGAGAGAGAGAGAGAGAGAGAGAGAGAGAGAGAGAGAGAGAGAGAGAGAGAGAGAGAGAGAGAGAGAGAGAGAGAGAGAGAGAGAGAGAGAGAGAGAGAGAGGGGAGGGAGAGAGAGAGAGAGAGAGAGAGAGAGAGAGAGAGAGAGAGAGAGAGAGAGAGAGAGAGAGAGAGAGAGAGAGCGCACCACACAAATCCAAGTGAAAAATACATTAATTTCAATGCAAGCCAATACAAACAAATTATTGAGAGTCAATAATACGTTAATTGAGAGATCCTGAAGAGAAGAAACCTGGCCCCTTACCTGGAAGGAAGCGAAGAACTGGTCGGTGAAGAGCCAGATGAGTTCCATGGTGTGGTTTTTGCCCATGAAGTAGGTGAAGCCGAGGAGAGCAGCGTAGTGAACCCCGAAGAGAGGCACCAGCACCAGGGTCGACCTCGCCCATCGCCTGAACGCCAGGGTGATATAACCCTCCATTAACGTCCCAGATGGGGGAGGTCAGGTCAGGTGGAGGAACCAGAGCGGCGTGGTGCGTGTCCCGGGGTTGTGGAGGGGGAATAGGGGTTGTAGTGAGGGGAAGATGTTGTTGTTATAGTTTCAGCTACTGGGAACAAAAAGTTCCAAGTAGCACGGGCTATGGTGAGCCCGTAGTGGACTTACCTGGCACAGGAGCGGGGCTGTAACTAGTGATGGAGGGGGGGGGGGAAGAAGGAGACAGTTAACAACTGTTTGTGGTGGCAATATCGGAGTAATTGTTCAGCTTCATTCATCATTCGTAAATGTTGATTATCGCTTAATAATTATACACACACATGCGCACACACACACACACACACACACACACACACACACACACACACACACACACACACACACACACACACACACACACATACACACACACACGCCTGTTGATTGACGGTTGAGAGGCGGAACCAAAGAGCCAGAGCTCAACCCCCGCAAACACAACTAGGTGAGTACGCACACACACACACACACACACACACACACACACACACACACACACACACACACACACACACACAACAGTGAACCGAGAACTCACACCTGTATCTATACTTGCGACTCTCGGGGGTGGTCGACGACTTAAGTTTCAGCAGCAGCTCCCTGGCGATGTTCAGAAACAGCACGAAACTAACCTGTGGGAGAAGTAAACACCGCGTGTAAGGTAGAGGAGGAGGAGGAGGAGGCAAACTCTTTCATACTTCTCTGTCTAAGAGACTGAAAGGAAAATAATTTTGTATACGTGGGCAGCTTAAATGATGCAGTTCTATGGGAAGGAGTGGTGGTGTGAGGGAGGGAGACCCCCAAGGGTAGAGAGGGATAGAAGGAGACAGCAGTGAGGGTAAGAAGAGAGGGAGACAGCCCTGAGTGTAGAGAAGGAACGGGAGAGAGAAAGAGAGAAAAGAGGAAGTAAGAACAAAATTATTTTACTAACAAAAATTATCTCTTGATAATTAAATATTCGCTCAATATCAATCTAAAATAGAACCGTGGGATACAACTCCCTTCCCCCTCACACTATTCAGAATCAGATTCAATTACTATGAATTCTTTCCATCATTTTATAATGTGCTTTTGAACACAGTTATACGGGTTGAATTTAATTTCGAGCATTGCCATTTAGCAAACTATGCTCTGAACAATTTGGTTACCTTAAATAAACTCTCATTGGGAACTCTTGTAAATATTGAATGAATAGTCGTATGCAATTCCATATATATATAGGGGGAAGCTGGTATACTCCAAACAGTGTTTCGTTGCTTTTATGTTTTTAGAGTGGAGAAATTACTAGTTTAAAAAAAATTCAAAAGCCTTTACAGTATTTTATGTTTCATTAGCTCCATCATAAACGAGATTATCGCTTCAATGTACTTTGAAATTTAAGTTGCGTCCCGGAACTGATTTTTTTTAAAATTTTCTGTGACACTGGTAGTTGATGTCAGTGTGCCATTTTAGTATCATGTTTGTATCATGTTAGTATCAACTTGGGATCATGTTAGTATTACGTAATAGCTCTAAACTAAGGGTATTTACGTTAAATATATATTCAAAGAACATGCCAAACCTTTGTTAGTGTTTGCGCGTTACCACTTGAGCGTGGTATCATCACGACTTTTGCTGTCAAAGTTCGATTCCTTGGAACCTACAATCAGACCGAAAAGGAAATCGCAGCAGTCCTCTGCAGAGTAACGAAGGTTGCTCCTGTCGATGTCTTTTGTATCAAAGATGCTTCTGCTGTGAACCTTGTCAACGGCGAGGACCTCAGCAAATTACTTCACCCACCGTATCTTACTGTACATTACAAGGTGAATATCGCCAGTTCTTCAAACGGCAATTCCAAGTTGACGGCCGGTTTTCTAAAAAGACTCAATCCCTGGATAGATGAAGGAGTCCACGAAGAGATCATTCAGCAGATTCCAAGAAAATTCTTCTCTGACTCGAATTTCGGCTTATATGATCACAGAAGCTAACAACGAACGTGCAGCGCTAAAACTCACGTTTGCCACAGCTACTCAAGCGAAGAAAGTAGAGAAAGGTGGATTTAAATGATCCCACGCCGTACCAGATCTCTATTTTTAGAGACACTTGTAGAGAACATGTAGAGACACTTGTAGAGACACTTGTAGAGACACTTCAAGCTCAAGCAGTGCTTCCAATACGCCCACTATGCAAACAAACGCCCCGAACGGGACGAAAAATGCACCGTATGCTCTGGGAATCACAATTAAAAGAACTGTTCTCACATCATCAGGAAATGCTCCCTCTGTGGAGAATATGCATTGCGGTGTCTCAACAATGTCCAAACAGGCCTAGACCACAAGCCAATTAGTTGCTGCCTACGACAAGCAACAAACTACTTTCCCCAGCCTCCCTGAACGAGCTGAAGCACCAACCAACAGCAACCACCGACTGTCTGGGCGAGTACAACCCAAAGGAACCCCTAAACTATTATTCAAACAACAACAGTAACAACTACCCACAAACCAAATATCCAGGTACTAGTGTTCATTGAAACCTTAAATAGAATCTCCAAAAACGATCACATTCTATTCAGCAAGACTATTAACGGCCTACTATTGCTAACAACATCGACGCGGTACAAATTTCAGTGGACATAATAACCACAATATCCTCCACAGGAGCACAAATACAAGTACCTTCATCTCAGAACTAATCCCATACATACTTGAGCAATCAGTCCACCCTCCCCCTCCACCCCCGCCCCCACCCCTCCACAGAACCGATCCCAACCACTCAAGAAGATTAAAAACGGAATCACCAAATACAATTTTGGAACTAATGCTAAAGGCAAGTAGATCATAAATAACAAAATTGCAAATTGCAAATACTCAAGTGAGTATTCATCTACAGCCAAATCGTATATATTATACAGCGGCGGCATTCACTAGTCATTATGAAGACTTCCAACAAAAAATATATATAATTCTATGGAACGAATGATAAACAAAAATATTACGAAAAGATCAAGTTAGTGTTTAACTCACGAAAATTATCAGCACGTAAACTATCACTAACTGGTCTTGTCATATGAGAAGAGACGACCTTCATCGCCATTAGTGGGATAACACTAAAATCCGACCTCATCTCACTCGATGAGGCATCAGCTGAATATGAAGAGCATTTCATCAGTGATGATATTTACTAAAGAAGAAGAATGAACACTATGCATAAAGACTTGAGCCAAGCACTCTAAGGAGTAGAAAGAAGATATACGCTATCACAAAGAGAATCCTTACCAGTACTGTACCTCTTGTAAACCGTTGTCTGTAAACTCCTCTCCTCAAGCTGCTCTTCACATGTATCCACTTCTCCTCAGCTTCATCCAAAATGTATCTTTATTTGTGAATCAAAAATCTCTCTCTCTCTCTGTCTGTCTCTCTCTCTCTCTCTCTCTCTCTCTCTCTCTCTCTCTCTCTCTCTCTCTCTCTCTCTCTCTCTCTCTCTCTCTCTCTCTCTCTCTCTCATATGCTCTTCTTTCTAGCCGGCAAAGTGTATCGATTTCACATCCACTAATAACAACTGTGGCGGGCTACCGGATATAGGGATAGATACAAAACATTCTCTGCCTTACTATTGCAATGTAAAGTGAACGACAGTTTCTATCTGCGATTACCTTTAAGTTATAGGAATCGTTATATAGAATTTGATTGGTAACAATCGAATTCTCTGAGTGGATTGTCAGTCATTGAAGATGCCAGACCACATTCACATACACTAACATTAATATGTATGTTCATTGTATATATAAGCATAATTCAGTTGAAATGTATGTTTTAATTTAATTTCTCGTGTTTACTTATCAAGCAAAACGCTAATACTCTGCTTATGTTAATGATATGTCAACATAATCTGCACAGACAAAGCTGGAAGTGTATTTTTTTAATTAGAAACAACTCATGTTCATCAAAACTACAAGTATCTGTAATAGTGAATATAATAACATATATGGCTAACATTTATTGGCTGCTGTTATTATTTATTGGAGCATAACTATTAAATATACCTCAGAAAATTAAAGCAGCATATTATCATAGCCACCATAAAAAAGGCAGTATAGAAGCATAATAAAGTTTCGACTCTCTGGATCGAACCAACTCTCCCAAACAAGCACAATCACACAAACACACTCCTCTAAACAAACACACACTCCCCCACAAAAAACATACTCCCTCCGCACAAACGCTGTCAATACACTGTTATTTTTCCAAGAGGATGAGGGAAAGAAAAGTAATTATCTATCTCGTTTGTCAAAGGAAATCTTTAGTCTTCCTACGGCTGTGAGATTCAATTCCTCAATTTGCTGTGTTGAAATGGCTGATTGCTCGTTCTGACAAATTTTCTCTTTCTACGTCTATTTCGTGTTTTGTTTTTTAATTAATGAATAAATATCAGATAAAAATAATCTTACTAAAATTTTCCGCTGACAATTATGTTTATTGTTTTTATTACTAATATGGATATTTTTTGTTATGGTTTCTTAGTTTAATGAACGTTTTTCCTAACTGTTTTTGTTCAATGTATTTTTTGTATGAGCTATATTATCTGTAGACAAATGATGATTCACACACACACACACACACACACACACACACACACACACACACACACACACACACACACACACACACACACACACACACACATCAGTTTCAAGTGAAGATATGAAACGGCCCAATAGGCTCAGTAATCTGTACACCAGTTGATCAACACTCGAGAGGCGGGACCAAAGAGCCAAAGCTCAAGCCCCGATAGCACAACTAGTCGAGTACACACACAAAGTCACATACAAGACAATGGGATGAAAAACTAAATATTTTTTCCTCTATGTCGAGCTGTAGTCTCCGACACACAGTTGAGAAGCGAGCAGAACCTCCACCAGTGGACTGTGCGGGTACCGGCACACTGAGGCCGGGTGGGAAGGGGGTGAGATGTGTCTAAACTTAGAACCAGTTCAGTCTTTTTGTGACCTCGTTATGATTGTGGACAACCACGCCACCAATTTCTTTTCCAAAGCATCAGTAGTTTTTCCCAGATGTGTCACAATTTTAACCTGATAAATATATATATATATATATATATATATATATATATATATATATATATATATATATATATATATATATATATATATATATATGTCGTACCTAGTAGCCAGAACTCACTTCTCAGCCTACTATTCAAGGCCCGATTTGCCTAATAAGCCAAGTTTTCCTGAATTAATATATTTACTATAATTTTTTTCTTATGAAATGATAAAGCTACCCATTTCATTATGTATGAGGTAAATTTTTTTTTATTGGAGTTAAAATTAACGTAGATATGTGACCGAACCTAACCAACCCTACCTAACCTAACCTAACCTATATATGTAGGTTAGGTTAGGTTAGGTCGCCAAAAAAAGCTAGGTTAGGTTAGGTTAGGTAGGTTAGGTAGACGAAAAAACATTAATTCATGAAAACTTGGCTTATTAGGCAAATCGGGCCTTGCATAGTAGGCTGAGAAGTGAGTTCTGGCTACTAGGTACGACATATATATATATATATATATATATATATATATATATATATATATATATATATATATATATATATATATATATCTGTTCCAGTGCCTCAGTGTCGCGGTCCAGAGAGGAAATGCGTGCTGTGTCTCGGACACTCACTCAACCTCCGAAGTGCTGGATGAGGTTTTCGAACACTGAGAGTTATATGTGTGTGTTTTCTATAAACTGTAGCTATACAAATATATATAATATATGTCAAATTAAAAAAAAAATTTGAGTTAAAACTAACGTTGAAATATGATCAAATTTAACCTAAGCTAACATAACTAAGTTTGTAATTAATGTTCTTAAAATAATATAGTAATATTAATTCAAATAAAACAATTGTAATTTTTATGTTTAAATAAAAAATCACTCTGCCTATTAGACAAATCGGGCCTTGCATATTAGGCCGAGAAGTGCGGTCTGGCTATTAGATACGACATTATATATATATATATATATATATATATATATATATATATATATATATATATATATATATATATATATATATATATATATATCAATTGTTAAAAATAACCGTAGGAATTCCCATTGGTATTCGCTCTTCACTACTTTAACACGTAATAGCTTTTCTGGTTAGCTGAGCAAATTCTCTGAAATATTGGAGAAATTTATTGACAAAATACATTTCAAATAGACCTCAATATTTCCTCAAATTGAATTTTAAACTAGAGATGTGCTATTATGCGTTTCATGTAATATTAAGGCGTATTTGTGTGTGTGTGTGCGTGTGTGTGTGTGTGCGTGTGTGTGTGTGTGTGTGTGTGTGTGTGTGTGTGTATGTGTGTGTGTGTGTGTGAGCCTCTGTGCCGGTGGATGTCTGTATAATTATATACACATGTTATTTGAGTACATTATAACAACATCTGACACATGACTCCTTTGTTGACTATGCAACCTCATAACAGTAACACAATGAAGCCTATTAGGACTCCAATATGCCCCCCAGAGAGTCCCCCTTCATATGAACCTTCAAACAGCTCATCCACCACTCTAACATACCCTCCCCTCACCCAGTATGACCATTGTTCAACCCCTTACATACCCTCCCGTCACCCAGTATGACCATTGTTCAACCCCTTACATACCCTCCCCTCACCCAGTATGACCATTGTTCCCATTTACATACCCTCCCGTCACCCAATATGGTCTCTGTCCCCTGTCTCGTAACCTCCAGTCACCAGCATGTTTCCCCCTGAGCTCCCAAACACAGTGTACTCACCACAATGGAAACAGAAATGGGTCCCCTGATGAAGGTCCAGAAGACCCAGGGACTCTCGTTAGTAAGCCAACAGAGCGTGTTCTCCGCCGTGAGCCTGGCCGTGACCCAGCCCACCACCAGCACCAGCGGCAGACCTGCGCAGGGACGGAAGAGGGAGGTGATAAAGATGGAGAAAATTGTGTAAATGGGGATGGGTCAAGGACAAGTGATAAAGATGAAATTCAACGGTAAATGGACGAATATATTTTGTAAGACGGCAGGGCAGTTTTCGGAGATAGGAGAAAGATGAAGTGGAGTGTATTAAATCAGAAATTTCACGCACGAGTTCGCTATCGGTTCTGCTTCGTTATCCATCGTGGGAAATAGCGGGGATAGCTGGGATCCCTTTCTATTAAGGCTCGGAAATGGGGACAGAGGGACGTCCTTGTCATTATAGCTCGGCAAAGAAAGACAAGGCATCTGTTCCTTCATCGCAAGCAGACACGCTTATGTTTATATTTTCATCACTATAAAATGAGTATCAGATTTGATTACCACTCAAGTACCGAGTGCTTCTATAGCTTTAAAATAAGATGTATGTGGGTCTGCCTGTTTTTGGTTATTAGTCAGACGCTTGAGGCTAGCTTCATTAAACTTTATAGTGACTGGTGGGTCTATCTCTCTTTCTTATATTATCTATCTTTTCTTCTATTAGCTCTTCGCGCTGTTAGTCCTGAGTTTTTAGGTGAAGTATTAGAAAATGTGGATTCTTTTGGTTATAAACTTTGCTACCCATAATTTTTTAGAGGCTTGCCTTAGCAAATCACAATATAGATACAATACTACAATAATGTCAGCAGTGAGAAAAGTCATCTTAAAATGTATTTTACCATCTATATCATGCTGTATTTGAAAGCATTATTAATACATTGACATATATCTGATACAAAAGGCATAAGGAAACCCGACTGACAAAAGTCTACCATCTACTGAAACATGCTTTAGTACAAATTATTCATAAATATTTTGAATAAATTAGTAATTGATTCAATTCGCATACCTAAAATAACTCTTGCCTGCGCATGACATTATTTATCGGCCCCTATCATTAATAATATTTATACAATACAATGACATATTCTATCTTAAAATATATCACACACACATTTCAACTGAAAAATATTTCAAAACTTTTACGTTAGACTCTCAGGTCTTGCAAGTATATTTGTACTTCAACTCACATTCTGAATAAATAAATAAAACAAATATTTTCTTTGGTGCTGAACAAACACAGGAACTATCTTGCATGGAAAAGGATCCTTTTTAAGCAGCTGTTCGATATCCTTTGTTCGCATCACAACTTATGAAACTTTGACCCTCTAGAATTTTACAAGCTACTTACAAAATAATATTATAATACAATTTTTGGAAGGCATACCAAGACAGCTTTTTCGAAAGTATAATATAAAAGCCGAAATTTCCCGAAAGTATGTTACAAAATCCCCTTCCGAAAGTATCTTACAATAACTTCTTTCGAAAGTATATTCTAATAGTTTCTTTCGAAAGTATTTCACGAAAGTTTCTACCCAAACTATATTTCATGCATTCAGAGAATAGACATAGTGGCTGCTGAGGTGTTTAACGCCATTAAAACTTTTTGTTGCCGGGTCAAACTTTGACAAATTATTAATTAAAAATAATATAATTGAAAGTCCCACGCTTCCATTTACCCAGTTTTTCTTTTTCATCGGCTGCGGGAGTTAAGAAATTAGGGAAGTTTAAGAATTCTTTCAAAAGCCACGTCATTAATCTTAACTTCGTCTTCCAATGCTTCAAATTATGATCTTTGAGTAAATGCAAGTTTGAGGATAAGTATTGAGTTACTTAATGGAAGTCAGAGATCAAGTATTGTTTGTGTTTATGTATATATGATGAATAATGTGACTGTCTAACTACGAAAGGAAATGAACAATGAAATTCTTTAAGTACTTTTGTATTAATCAATACATCTTCACAATGATCATTTCAGATATTCAGAGACTCTACATAATAACTGTTGTGGTGTTTAACGCCATTAATCCATATTCTGAAGTTGTATTGATTAATACAAAAGTTTTTAAGTTATTTCCTGTAAAACTAAGGTATGCATATTTATAGTTTATATGTAGCCGAAATATAATAAAAATATTATTACACGAGTAATAAAATACCAAAACAAAAAAGAGAATAAACATAAATCCTTCACAATCCTCACAGTGCAGTAATTATAATTTAACAAATAGAGCAAAATTACCTTTTGTTAATTGTCCAAATCTGAAGCGAGCAAAATCAACAATTATTACTCATAATTATGATCGTCATCAAAGGTAACTCACCCCAGCCAAGAACAATGTAGAGGGTGATGGCCGAGTTGTCGGTGAAGAGAGCGAGGAAGATGAGGTTGTGTAGGTAGAGTCCTTCCATCAGTATCCAGGCGTAGTTAGCCAGGATGAAGTACTGCCACAGCCCCGTGAACAGTCGACACCCCCAGGTCTGAGGCAAAAGGTGCAGAAAGGTAAGAGTTAGTGCTGGTAGTAATGATAGGAGACAGAGAGTAAGCAGACGAGGAGTCACAATAACGTAACTGAAAAAATGTTGACCAGACCACACACTGGAAAGTGAAGGGACGACGGCGTTTCGGTCCGTCCTGGACCATTCTCAAGTCGATTGTGAATGGTCCAGGACAATCGACTTGAGAATGGTCCAGGACGGACCAAAACGTCGTCGTCCCTTCCATTTCTAGTGTGTGGTTTGGTCAACAAAGAGAGTAAGAAAAAGAGAGATGGAAAATTAATATTTATTAGATCTTTAGACCCCAAAAGAGTATATCATCAAGTATATATGGTTTAAATAAAAAAGGATTTTGGAATAAATTAAATAATGCTATAGGAATTGAGAGGAACAAATATAGTGTTATAAGGTGTCTAAAATAATAAGTTATAGAATTACTTGAGTGGAATACATCTAAATGCCCATATGCAGCTGGGTTCACTATGGTAGTTAGGGTCGGAATAACTTGGCGCTGATGGACCACGTGGGCCGGGAATCGAACTCCGATTTGCTCTCTTATGCTTACCTCCAGATCGTGTTATTCAACGCAACAATGTAAGATAAGGTATGTAGTTGAATATCTTGCAATTTACAGTAGACTGCGTTGAATATAAGAAATATTATGTTAGTGAAGGAAGACTTTTAAATACACTACTATTAGTTGTAGACAAAAAAACAACTCACCAGAAGTAGTTAGACACAAAGACGAATGTCGAAAATTTTGGACGAAAACGTCAGCAGGGAATATATCAAGAATATCCCATGACGTAGACAACCTTTCAAACGAGCTGGATAAAAAAATATACACCGCGGTATATATAATTCGCAGAAAGGATCTAAACGAATGAAAGTCTCATCATTAGTCTCACAGAATAATAACTATTTTCCCTGGTAATATCCATGCAATACTATGGCGATCAGAAGACAACTTTCCTCCCAATATGTTCTGTCACTTTCTCACTGTTTCATCCTAAAACGTTTTCACTTTAGCCAGGTTAAACTCGTCTTCCTTCCATCCAACAGTTCCTCACTTTAACCCTGTACCATAATATCCTTTCCTCTCCTCAATTCCACCCAATACTGCTTTATTTTAATCCTTTCCCTTTGTTTCCTATGCTGTCCTCCGTTCTCTCCAACAGTCTTTAGCTTTAACCCTTCCTCACTGTCCCTCCCTATCTCCTTCATTCCATCCCAAACTCTCCTTTTAACACTGGTTCTTGAGTGCCTCTCAACCACCGCAGTACTCACACTTCTATCCATGAATGGTTCCTGTGACTCAGGGATGAGAAGACCGTGCTGCTTGTCCCTGGCGAGGGCACCAATGGCCCGGCAGATGAAGGAGAGGAAGAGATGCATGTGTAGGGTATTCCTAGGACATCGGAGGCGTCTGTGGGACACGCGACACCTGTATTAGTGATATGTGTTTTGAATTTGTTGAAATGTGGCTCTGCTGTGCTGACAATATTAAAGATTCTTCGATTTCTACGTGTAGTGTATATATATATATATATATATATATATATATATATATATATATATATATATATATATAGAGTTGAATCATTTGTGTTAGGAACGGTGTTTGTGGAAAAATTGAGAAGTATATAGTTTCATGAAGGGTTTAAGGTCTATCAAGCTCTGGAAAGTTATTTAAACCATCCTAAGAGCTTACTGTGAAAATAAAAAAATCTACCATTCTGAACATGTTTAAAAATTAAAGTAAACTGTCAGTGAATATACACTAAGAAGTGGAGCTCTCCTCTTGGGGTATATACCACATTTATTTATATATGTAATTAATGTTGGACTTAGTTTACTGTACGCTATTAGGTATGTATTTTTTAATATTATATACTAGTTACTGGCATATAAGGCAACGTCAATACTGCTATGTGTTTTGTGTAATAACTAGAAAACTGAAACAAATTTAGTAAGTGATATAACTGAATATACATTTTAAATAAGGCCATTAGCTACAATATAGTATAGATGAACGTAAAATGACTCTGAAAACGAAAATCTACATTATCTTATTGGAGGACAAGATGTACACATTTTAATATAAAATTAGATTTCCTGAATTGGTGGGTTTAAGAATTTGGGTGTTGAGAAGGAATTCTTCCATAATTACCAAGAACCTTTCAAAGCCAATAATTCAATTATAATGAAAATAACATTTCATTGTCTAGTAAACATATTTAACAAAAAATATCACTGTAATATTAGTTCTACACTGAAATAAAAACGCTCATACAAATGTATTCTTAATTTTAAAAGTTATATTAATTGTACTTAAAATTTAATACAAATTGTTTATCATAATTTCAGCAAAGTTCTAAATATGAATAATTGACGATTAAAAATCAAACAATAAACATATAGAATTTCTCCATAACAGGAGAGGCAATAGAAAATTCTGAACAAAATACATAAAATGGTTAAATTTCATATTGCACGAGATCGTTGAGTAATTTCTCATGCAGTTGGTTGTGCAATGCAACGTGCAGCGAATATTAATGCTCTAAATGGTTTACAAGAAAATGTTGTAGATGAGCAGAAGCTTATTACATCAACATGCACAGCGTATATATTAAATTATTAAATTTCAAAGCACTTATTTGATTTTCCCCAAGTAATAAGGAGTCAGGTACACATGCATTAATATATAGTATATATAAATCATATAATTGGGACCCTTCAACTAAAATCATATAATAATAATAATAATAATAATAATAATAATAATAATAATAACGATAAAAATAATAAGTATTAACATTAAAATAATAACAACAAATAAATAAGGAATTTAGACCCAATTCAATAATGACAGAGATAAAACAATCTTAAGTAGAAATTAATTTAATTCCTTGGAATACTCGGTCTCCATCACTGTCACTTTTAATATCCTAGGAATTTCTACCATATTGTGGCCAGCTCCGTGTCAGGGCTACCACTGGCCAGCTCCGTGTCAGGGATATCACTGGCCAGCTCCGTGTCAGGGCTATCACTGGCCAGCCCAGTTACAGAGTTACGACTGATCAGCTTCAATCAAGACTACTAATACTTCATACATATAAACAATTCACATAATTTAACAAATTTTGGTCCGGAAATCAATTTCTATTAATATTAATACGTTTATAAGTAAAAAAAGGTCATGTATTCCTTACGATCGTTCTCACACTCCATTTCTATAAGATGAATCAATGCAAATATCTGATCTATACACACACTTCCATCACTGACCTCGTCTTCTTCGTCACTGATATATTTCTATGTTTTCTCTATAATGTTCCGATCGCTATCCTTGTCATACACTTAACAAACTATTGCTTCAATATTATTATATGATGCAGTGTCGTTATCCCATGCCTGCTACTAGTGTGTGTGTTAATATACACAAATACTACATGTGTGTGTGTATTCGTGTGTGTGCGTGTGTGTATTTGTGTCCTAGTTGTGCTTGCGGGGGTTGAACTCTGCTCTTTCGACCCGCCTCTCAACTGTCAATCAATTGTTACTACTACTTTGTTTTTCACTCACATACACACACACAAACGCACACACACACACCCACACACACACACACACACACACACACACACACACACACACACACACACACACACACACACACACACGCACACACACGCACAGGAAGCAGCCCGTAACAGCTGTCTAACTGCCAGATACGTATTTACTGCTAGGTAACAGGGGGCATCAGAGTTAAAGAAACTGCCCAATTTTGTTTCTCGCCGACGCCGGGAATCGAACCCGGGCCACAGGATTACGTGTAGAGTGTGCTCTCCACACAGCCACCGGCCCCTTTGTGTGTGTGTGTGTGTGTGTGTGTGTGTGTGTGTGTGTGTGTGTGTGTGTGTGTGTGTGTGTGTGTGTGTGTGTGTCTATGTGAATGTGAATGTGCCTGTGTGTGTGCATATAAATGAGTGTAAAAAAATAATTTTTATAAATTATAATATACACAATGAAGCTTTTTTACATAACTTATTTACCTATAAACATTAAGACACAATTCATGCTAAAAACAATAACTTATACATATGTAGATGAGATGAACTTGAACAACAGAAGGGTGCAAGATAACATGTATGAACAGCCTGTGACTCACTTGATGCAGGCGAGGACTGTGAAAGCTACAATGAGAGTAGCTAAGGACACGCTGTAGCCCACGTAGGACACTACCCGCACCACTGGCACCCACTGTGGTGGCATGGGAGAGTCAGGGAGGGAGAGAACATGGGTGGAAAAGGTGAGAGGAGTTAAGTGGGACACCACAGTTACTCACTGCTACGTTGAAGATATAGAGGGTGGGAGAGGTTACAAATACATGTGTAGAACGCCGCCTGTTCTCACTGTTACTTAGGATATTGTGACAGAGGAGATAGAGAAAAGGAGAGATGAAGATTAGTAGGAGGGGGTGAAAGGAGAGAGAGAGAGAGAGAGAGAGAGAGAGAGAGAGAGAGAGAGAGAGAGAGAGAGAGAGAGAGAGAGAGAGAGAGAGAGAGAGAGAGAGAGAGAGACAGATATGCCAAGAAAAATATATCTCATTTTATAATTGTTTGAGTTTTTTTATGTTGTATAATAATAATTGTTCGAGATAATGACGGAGTATATTCATAAAATCTGAGAGAACTAATAATGATATATATGAAGATGATAATCAGAGATGCATTAATAATTTCATGATCAGAAAACCATCACTAAGCAGAAGATTGGAGCAGTTTCAATTAGCTAGTGATAACGAAAGGTAAATATTTATGAAAACATAATATATATATACTGATCATGAAAAACAAGAATAAATTGAAGACGTTAGATTATATTAATTGTTGAGATTCGCAATCATGCAGAATTGGTAAGCACATCACTATGTATTTTTCTCACTGAAATACCATTTAAAATGTTTAAATAAGGAGCATAAAAGGCTGATAAGTAAAAGAACATTGCACAGAGTGAGGAACTTAAAATAATACGATAGGGGCTCTTCTCCATTACAGACACCCATCACAGAAACACACACACACTATTCCACCCACATATTTTTACACACACACTACTGAGCACTGGCTTAAGGTCCCGTACGTTCTAAGCTTTAACTTGATTCCCCAAAATTGTGCTGGACAACTGCACTACCATTAAGGGGTGATGTACATAATAAAGAGCATTACAAGGAAACGAGGAATTTATCCTGTAAATGCTCTTGGAACACAGAAATGAGATAGAGAGAGAGAGAGATAGAGGGAGAGAGATAGAGAGAGAGAGAGAGAGAGAGAGAGAGAGAGAGAGAGAGAGAGAGAGAGAGAGAGAGAGAGAGAGAGAGAGAGAGAGAGAGAGAAAAAAAAAAAAAATTTAGTAGTTTTCCTCTCTCTCTCTCTCTCTCTCTCTCTCTCTCTCTCTCTCTCTCTCTCTCTCTCTCTCTCTCTCTCTCTCTCTCTCACGCGTGCACACACACACACACTAGGGGGATGTCGGCGCTGAGTGTACGGCATAAGCTTGAAAGAAACTCTGCTCATTTGTTTTTGCCTCGGCCGGTAATCGAACCCGGTCCCTTAGGACTACGACCGCCGAACGGTGTCTACTCAGCCGCGCCTGTGTTTGTGTATGTGCATTCACCTAGTTGTACGCACCTACTTGTTCTTGAGGGTGTTGAGCTCTAGCTCTTTGATCCCGCCTCTCAACTGTCAATCAACTGGTGTACATGATCCTGAGCCTACTGGATTTTATCATATCTTCACTTGAAAGTGTGCATGGAGTCTGCCTCCACCACAGTGTGTGTGTGTGTGTGTGTGTGTGTGTGTGTGTGTGTGTGTGTGTGTGTGTGTGTGTGTGTGTGTGTGTGTGTGTGTTCAAAATCATAAACCTGCCGGCTATGCTATCACGGAAACATTACTGTTCAGTCATTAGGACAATGTCGCTGTTGCAAAATAGTTGCAACAATTCAATGAATTTCATATATAAATATTTCAACAGAAGTGTTGATAGATCATAGTTACGAAATAATGCATCAGGAACTGCAATAATAATATTTTGAAATACATAACGAACAGAATTTATCTAAATTTGGGACAATAAACTTGGAATCTTTCCCCACAAATTAAAAAAATCCACAAACTTGAAAGTATTGTAACTAGAAAACTAATTTTGCTCGACTATTTTATTATGAAACGTCTTCTTAACCATGATATGGGGTTTGTAATGTCATTAAAAACCTTATTAGTGGATTTGGAAGGTTATTAAAGTGTCATTAAGGATTATGGAAAGAATTTATTACTGCAGTAAAGATTTTTGGAATATTACTGATACCCAGTTAAGGAGTTTAAGGTCATCTCGTCGCAATTAGGAATTATAGACGGTCATTACGACCTTATTATGGATTGTGCAAGGTCACTGACAATTATATAGGTGTCAATAATGAAATTGATGGCTTATGATGATAGCGATCAATGATTATTTTCCAGGTCAATGATAGTGATGAGCACAACCTAACCCTACGTATTCACCTTTCCTGTCTTCAACTCTTCTTTCGCAATTCAGCACAACCCTTAACACCGCCTCTTATCCCTGTGAGTGCTACACATCAGACGTTCCAGCACCCATTCTCTCCCATCTCAATGCCACCTCCTTCAGCGCCATTCTCCACCCCACCTCTTAGCAAAATCCCTCTTCTTAGTCCGTGGTTTGAGTCTCCTGTAGCCCAGATGAATGCAATCCCTCTTGTGATATATTCAGAGTGATCACAGTTGATTCTCCAAATGGCCCCAAAAATGTCTGAATATATAACAGATTTGTGTCTTTGATGCAGTTTCATTAACATAACCAACAGCGTAAGGCTACTCACATGATTGTCTTTTTACATCTCTTTTTCATCTATCTCATGTTATTTTATCTCTTTAAGAAATTGAAGGTAGCGATCGTGACATAGAAGAATGTTGGTTAAGCAATAAACGTTGCTCCTGTAGTGTAACAAAACCATTATTTTTAGAGCCCAAGCCCAAGAGCTGGATACCCTATTGGCCTATAACTCCCTTTGCGTCAAATAAGAGGCTCATATAGTGTTAATTATTTACATTTACAGTATACACTAGGAGAATTTTAAGAGGTGTATTTAAAGTAAGAGGAGTGAGTGAAACATGTCAATAAAAATTTGGAGCAAACCTATTAATAAAAATTATCATTGTAAAAAGCTGGTTCCAGGAGCTGGAACCAAATAGCGCTTATAACATCACTCAGGTCAAAAAAGGAAAATCATGCAAAGTTTATTTAAATTCCGTTCAATGTAGTTCGTGTAATAGTGTATAAACAGATTTAAAAATGAGTAATATGAAATTTGTATCCAACTTTTGTTGCAAGGTATCACGATACTTTGTATCAGGCAATCTGGCTTGTTGGTTTGCTGGAAAATAACTGGCTTGCATCTGTCTTGTTGGTTTACTGTGTGACTAACTGGCTGTCATTCAGGCATTCAGATACATAGCATTTAGGCTTCCTATATAGCTAGCATCTATCTGGTTTGTTTGTTAACTGGTTAATTGGCTGGCATTTGCCTGGTTTGTTTCCTGGCTGGGTATCTGGGTGACATTAGCTTCGTTGGTTTTCCAGTTAACTCGACGGGGGTTAACTCGCTGGGAAGTTTTGAAATAGGTTGGATGATTGCATGGCAACATAACTGGATGGATGCGTGGCTGGCAGTCTAGTTCGCTGGTTGACTAAATGTTTGGCTTTACCACAGCAGGATTACCAGATGATCGTAGAATCGAAGCTTAGATATCTGATTGAATTGGTGTATTGATAAATATGCAGACTATATTTAGCTTTTCGATGGTGAGTATATAAACGGATGAGCTATTAGTTGGATGATCTGCTTGATAAACGGATTAGAAGATATGATTTATTGATTAGTAGAGGGAAAGCCAAAATAATGTATGACGTTATAAGTAGATATTTTGATGAATAGCTTTAGGGTAGATGTATAAATATATGACTTAAGTGAAGATATATGGATGTATAGTTGCAGGGTGTACGAATGTACGCCTGGAAAATAGATGTATGATGAATAGCTGGCGGGTAAATATTTAGATATATAATTTGTGTATGGATGAATGTATATATGATAGTGTTATATTAATAACATTCAGGGGTATGGAGGGTTGAAAGGACAGTGTTCGTTAAAATGATTGAAAACTGTGTATACACCCCGTTCCTCTTTAGCTCACCAACCTTCTCTCTCCATAATATTTTTCCTTCTCTCTCTCTCTCTCTCTCTCTCTCTCTCTCTCTCTCTCTCTCTCTCTCTCTTTCTCTCTCTCTCTCTCTCTCTCTCTCTCTCTCTCTCTCTCTTATGAAGGCATATGTATGAGTTTGAGGCCATCGAGACACGAACTTGTTTTATGCATGAGCACAATTCGTGAAAACTGAAGGTCGAAGCAGCGACATTCAAAATGGATTTAGAGAGGAGGATGTGTGTGTGTGTGTGTGTGTGTGTGTGTGTGTGTGTGTGTGTGTGTGTGTGTGTGTGTGTGTGTGTGTGTGTGTGTGTGTGTGAGGGAATGTGTTAAATCTGAAGCAATGCTTTCGTAAAAAATTCACTCCTTGTCATGCATATTAATATTAGTTTCTTGAAGTCATAAAAGTTATTTTAGTATGTGTTTTTATGCTCACAAAGGTGGGTCACAAACATTATAATTACAACCTAATTAAAACAAAAGATTCACACACTTACCAGACACAAGGGATGTGAATTCATTATGTTAGAGGGATTCTTAAACTGGGTTGGTGTTTAGTTGTAGCTTCTGAGAAGATAAACATTAGGAAGTTCGAGAAAGAAAGGCGAGAGAGTGAGAGAGAAAGTGTGGGAGAGAGTGAATGTGTGTGTGTGTGTGTATGTACACAGATTTACATCATGCAGACACACATATACAAAGGAAAACTTGCATGACCTTAGAGGATTGTTGGGGGCTAATCAACACATAACAAATCTGATAAAGTCCTTTCAGTATCTTGAAGCACAAATTAAAGACTACTTCGCCGTAGGCACAAAGCGCTTACATTGCCTGTGAAACGAAACAGCAAACAGGCTTTGCAGATAATCTCTAAAATTTCTGAAGCTGCGACAGAATCAATCAGTCATACCCAATCGCTGCATTCAACTCTTACACTTTTTACCAATGCCTCAAAACAATGCCATTCAGCTTCAGACTTCAGCTATAATCCTCAAAAGTTATACTCTATTGCTTGCAGAACGAGAATCACTATAATTACCCAATTCATATATGCACATTACAGCATTACAAATCAACTAGCTCTGAAAGCTCCGTTTGGAAGCGTTGTGATTCTACGACACAGTGTTTGTCACTCTTTATCTCCCTCTTGCCCCTCTTAATCTTCTTATTTCCCCTCTCCCTCTGTTTGTCGTATCCCCTCACAGAAATATCGTAAATATTTTAGGAATGATTAAAACGCCCGTGACAAGAATTAAGAGCATGACAACAAACCTTTACGGGGAGAGAGAGAGAGAGAGAGAGAGAGAGAGAGAGAGAGAGAGAGAGAGAGAGAGAGAGAGAGAGAGAGAGAGAGAGAGAGAGAGAGAGAGGAAATAACACAACATTCTCATTCAAAATCTGTCTCACAGAATTTTCCAAACACATACAAAATATTATTCCCAAAATGTGTTAAAGTATACACGTTTCTAAAATAAAAAGCACAGCGACATATAATCTTAGAAGCCGCCTGGCTCTGCTCGCTCCTAAAACAAGCTTTATTTTCTTTATGCTAATTGATTTCGCCTCGTTGATTCTGTTTACGTAGTCCTGAGGTGTGTAAAAAGTTAAACAAAAATCCCTGTTTTCTCTCATTTAATGAGCTCGTCAAGTTAAGACCTGGCAATTCCTTAATGATATTATATATTCATTTAACTAAAATCCAAAGCCTCTCACCACATACTATATAACATATCAATCGTATTAGCATTTAGATTACAGGTAAAGTAAATTTACAACAGTCGAATGTGTCAAAGATGTGTGAAGAAGTGATACAAATTTGCATTTATATGGAAGGAAGGCGAGTTGCTGAGTTCTGTATATAGATGGATTGGTATTTACGTTAAATGATCAGGATTTAAAAATAATTTAAGCATGTGGGTGTGGATTGCTTATTCCTCTGTTTACTTTCACCTAATTGTATTTGCGGGGGTTGAGCTTTGGCTCTTTGGTCCCGCCTCTCAACTGTCAATCAACTAGTGTACAGATTCCTGAGCCTACTGGGCTCTATCATATCTACATTTGAAACTGTGTATGGAGTCAGCCTCCACCACATCACTGCCTAATGCATTCCACCTGCTAACAACTCTGACACTGAAAAAGTTCTTTCTAACGTCCCTGCGACTCATTTGGGTACTCAGTTTCCACCTGTGTCCCCTTGTTCGCGTGCCTTTTGTTTGTGTGCATGTGTACATGTGTGTGTGTGTGTGTGTGTGTGTGTGTGTGTGTGTGTGTGTGTGTGTGTGTGTGTGTGTGTGTGTGTGTGTGTACTCACCTAGTTGTGCTTGCGGGGGTTGAGCTGGCTCTTTGGTCCCGCCTCTCAACCGTCAATCAACAGTTGTACAGGTTCCTGAGCCTATTGGGCTCTATCATATCTACACTTGAAACTGTGTATGGAATCAGCCTCTACCACATCACTTCCTAATGCATTCCATTTGTCAACCACTCTGACACTAAAAAAGTTCTTTCTAATATCTCTGTGGCTCATTTGGGCACTCAGTTTCTGTGTGCCCATTCACACACTCAGTGTGTGTGTGTGTGTGCGTGTGTGTGTGTGTGTGTGTGTGTGTGTGTGTGTGTGTGTGTGTGTGTGTGTGTGTGTGTGTGTGTGTGTGTGTGTGTGTGTACACGATGTGCTTCAAATCTTTCGTATGAAATAGAAAAACTATTTGTAAATATTATATCCAAACTAAGGTAGTGAAATGTGGATATGCTCTACCGTAGACTTTTTTCTGGTTCCTGTTTTACATAAGTTTGATTGTAAATCCTATTCATTGTTTTTAAACAAATTAAACCTAAATGTGTGGCATTCTTTTTATATAATGTTTCCGCTAGACTTCATTCTTGATAGCTGTGTAATGTCAGAGCTAAGTTAAGTCACTGTAAAATGCAAAGATTTACAAATATCTTCCAATTCAATTCAGTTATTCAGGAAAATATAAAACCTATGCATATATATTATTTTTCATATACTGAAAACATAGGTTATAAGTGTGAGAACTTGCATTCAAAGTAAATGAAATGAAAAAATAGATTTGCACATTTTGGTGTTGTATACAAATAATAGAAGAATATCCCATAGACATCTAAATGACTATTTTTTTAATAAATTTAAAGGCAAACAAATATGTGATTAAAATTACTTTTAATGCTAAAACAATAATTTCAGAGCGTTCTTTATAACGTGAACCTGTGAATAAACATAACGATAGAGATATGAATCTCATATCTCTATCTCCTAACACTAATTTATTTGTTTTAAATGTAATCGACAAGTCAACTTTGTAGTGTTGTCTTCGACTGTGTTTCTATTGTAAAGTTCATTATTGGTTCTTTTTTCATTGTCTGATTTTCCGTCTGTATTTCTTGCTCTTCAACAGATAGTGAAAAAAAATAAAAAATATATAACATAAAGTGAAAGTGTATATATACCAACTACTCTCTATTCTACAAATGTTTTTGTCAAAATCTATAAAATATGCCGTTGGTAGTATTCTGAATGACAACTGTATTGTGGTGTTTGATCAGTGATGAACCTCTCCATAATCCACGTGAATAGGTTATTGCTCCTATGTGTCACAATGGTGAGCTGCAGTTGGATAACAAAGGAATGTTGTGTTGCCTATATCTATGAAACTCGGTTAAAACATTTGTTGTGTAATTTGTTGAGTCAATGTTTAAAATCGCGTGTGTGTGAGTGTGCTGGTATATTTAACATGGTTCACTTGGCAGTGTATGTGCCAGATATCCATGAACGAGGGTTCGATCCAGTCTAACTACTGCAGTTCAATGAGCAAATGTAATAGTTGACTGACGACTGAAAAGTAGAGCAAGCAACTTATCCTCTCAACAAATCGACCTCGTTTAGCACGTTATATTGACCAACGTTACAAATGCAACCAACTATGAAGTGGAACGACTCATGCATAAATCAACCTCTTCTATACATCGGTCAGTAGGGTGAGGTTGGATGCTTGGGTTCGTAAGCTTCATGGTAGGATAGTAGGTGGGAGTTTGTACGTTAAGGCAAAGGAAGAGATCGAGCTGCAGCCAGACAGCCAGGTAAATACAAATTAAATCCATAACCACAAACATTCTTAACCGTACACAAAGCCGGAAAGGCAGATAACTAACAGTTCAGCAATATTAACACTATAAAATTCAAATTTGTTAGGGTACTGCATGTGCCAAATTAAACAATAAAAACAAGATAAAATTATTGTTGGTAGTCCTTAACTGAACGGCCATAAGCATGAGTGATACAAAATGAACAGGATGTGATAAATATCATGATACACTGAATATACTCGTTTGTTAACGGATGAGAAACCTAGTTGCAAGACAGAAACAATAAAGCTTGGACCTCTAGATCCAAGACCAAGTCAAATTGGTCTCTCTGGGATCAATGTGACTGAAATATCACTGAATTCTCGCCTATTAATGTGAGACAAATGGGTATGAGCAGTATAAGTTGTCAGAAGAAAGACCTGAACCAAGTCACCTTGAGTATACCTCTTGTGTTTGTGCTACTGATAAATTATGCACGAGTCTTAGCCAATGTCAGGAGCACATAATATACACTGTGAAACATACATAATCCATTATAAAAAATATCATATATGACACTATAATATGCAAGCATGCTAAGCGATGCTATATGTTATAAAGCATATATGAAAAAAAGATCAACACAACCTTCGAATTCTAGTGACCTGAATTTTAAGGTGAAGAAGGATAAGCGTTGCAGAGAAGGTTCTGTGGAAGGAGAGAATGGGAGGCTGGAACACCCTGAGAAAGATGAAGGTGGTATATGATAGAGGAATTCTCCACGTGAGAATGCATAATGATGCTGAAAGAAATTGCATTTTAGGATGTGGGATTGTTAGGACTGAGAGAGCGAGAGAGAGAGAGAGAGAGAGAGAGAGAGAGAGAGAGAGAGAGAGAGAGAGAGAGAGAGAGAGAGAGAGAGAGAGAGAGAGAGAGAGAGAGAGAGAGAGAGAGAGAGAGAGAGAGAGAGAGAGAGAGAGAGAGAGAGAGAGAGAGAGAGAGAGAGAGAGAGAGAGAGAGAGAGAGAGAGAGAGAGAGAGAGACAGACAGACAGACAGACAGACAGACAGACAGACAGACAGACAGAGACAGAGACAGAGACAGACAGACAGACAGACAGACAGACAGACAGAGAAACAGATTGACAAAGAGACAGACAGGCAAACTGACAAACAAATATACATTCAACGACAGATAGAGAACGACTGAAATTTAAAGTGAAATTAACCGAGAGACACAGATAGAAAGAAATGAGGTGATAGACACAGATAGAAAGAAATGAGCTGAGAGACAGAAGAAGAGAAAACAGCCGAGGAAACTCATAATTCACAGGAGGACCGACCTTAAAAAGTGTAATGTTGACATTCTCAGCCACGAAGTAGGAGGTGGAGCACTGTGTGTAGTTGGTCCAGGAACTGTTCCCTCCATGTAGACGGAACCACGTCCCCTGTGAAGTACAGTACCTGGTCGCCTGACTCTGAGACACACAAGGAAAAAACGACCATTAGTTCGGAACGTTTCGCGAGCATGTATTAAAGCCATATTCATGGGTAAAAAAAATGAGATTAATTTACATGAGTTAATTTTCAATAAGAGGTACACGTGAGCTAGTGTTGGTGGGATGGAAGCAGGTGGTATACTAGAAAGTGGGATGGAGGCAGCTGTCCTCCTAGTAGGTGATATGTATGCAGCTGGTGTGCTAGTAGGAGGCATTGAAGCAGTTGGTATGCTAGTAGGAGGCAAGGAAGCAGTTGGTATGCATGGAAATGTATATTTACCTTCCGAGGTTTTGTTGAGTCTGTTTATCTTTGCAGCTTTAATTAGACAATCAATATTCATGTTTTGATTCCCTGGTAAGTTACTGAGATAGTATAAGACAATAGTAAAAATTTTAAAAATTATCTTATTCTTTACACAAAAGAAAAATTTATAAACCAAGGCATGTTTTTGCTCCAGATTCTGACTGGAATTCGCAGAGATTTTTTATGCACTTTTTGTGTGATTTTTTAATTCTAAAAAAGTAAATAGCAATAACTTATATTAATATCGACAACAGATAATAGAAAATATCAATATTCTTACCCCATGAGGGAAGCCTTGCACGTAGGTAGGACACGGAATAGTAACCAGTGTGTCTTGAGGCGTGCGGGGCCAACAGTACACATCGTCAAAGGTCGTCGGACAGTAGGCAATAGTGGACCCATTCTCTATCAATCTCGGATTCCCACTTTCTTTAATAACCTGACTCCCAAGTTCTCTCTCTTGGCTGCCTTCATCCTTGCTCTCGTTTTCTGCCCGGTCGATCGAGCTCATCGTTCTGTACTTGGCGCTCTCGACTGTCATATATTCATCCCTTTCGTCGTAAGCGACTCCCTCGACGTCGTCTCCAGTGATTCTTACGCTCGCTTCGATTCTCAACTGTCTCAACAACCGTCTCTCTTCCATCATCTTGACCTCACAGTCTTCCCTCATCGCTTCCAAGACGGCCACCTGATCCTCCACCGACTCAGGCTGAGGACAAGAAAAGACTGAGGGTCATCGATCTGGCTTGGGATTTTAAAGAGTTGAAAACTTTGTTCACTCAGAAGGAAGATAGATCGGAAGTGCTCTATTTTCCGAACATATCGTCTGTCTTATGTGCCTCAGTGTTGTAAGTCGGGTTTAATGTTTGATTTTGCGAATATTGTTTTAATTTTATTTTAGTGTGGGCTATCATCCTTCACATTTTAGAGAAATATGAATTTTTATTCATATATATATAATAACGACATTAAAAAGGACAAACCAAGCTCACATATTATTCACAAAATTAATAGAAGAAATATAAAATATGAAAAAATACAGTTCATAGACAACGACGGTACTATAATAAGAATATATATTGAAAAACTGTTTTAATAAACTAAGCAAAAATATTACTAAAATATATATTTTTTTCATAGAGGAAATAATATCAGTATAAGCATTTATTATATTCACAAGTGCTTTCGAGTACAATTCGTTTGTCTGCACACACACACACACACACACACACACACACACACACACACACACACACACACACACACACACACACACACATACACACACACTTAAACACACAGTAGCAGGTATAAGGGCCTAACCTGTTTCACATATATACACACATTAAAAAAATCCAGTGTGACGAGACTTGGTTTTAATAAATTCCACAAACACATTTAAGTCACTAGCAAAGATTATCAACACCTTTACTTCAGATGGGAAAGATGCCTTACTTCTACAAGTCGACTTCATGGCAGATACGATCAAGAAAGGAAATAGACACAAGGTGCCACATCGTATACAATGGAGTAGTTGACAAGCATCTTCTGTAGCATACTCCAGAGATTAATATATGACGTTCAATGAAGTAATTTAAAATATAGTTCACATGTCTCACTTTCATCGTCGTGTTCAACACTCACTAACCTCTTTTATCTTTCCAGTCCCGTCTTTTTGCAAAAATATCGCTCTCTTTCGTTTCCACGTCTTTCTTCAACTCCTTCCTCGCTCCTTCATCTATCCCTTTCTCCCATTTTTTGTAGCTATCTTTTTTCTCTCTCCCTCTTCCAATATTTTATTTCTCTCTTTTCCCCTCACGCAAGACATACAGATGTGCTCCACAGCCTCTCACATACCCGACACCTGGCACTCAGAGC